CTTAATTTTTCTTTCCTTTTTTTTGGAGACAGGGTCTGTCTTTGTTGCCCAGGCTGGAGTGCAGTGGTGCAATCTCAGCTCACCTAGGCTCAAGTGACCCTCCCACTGCAGCTTCCTGAGGAGCTGGGACTGCAGGTGTGCGTACCATGCCTGGCTAATTTCTGTATTATTATTATTATTATTATCGGTAGAGGCGGGGTTTTTTCATGTTGTCCAGACTGGTCTTGAACTCCTGGGCTCAAGTAATCCTCCCAGCTCAGCCTCCTAACCTTTCATTTATTTTTAAGAGACAGGGTTTCACTATGTTGCCCATGCTGGCCTTGAACTTCTGGGCTCAAGTGACACTCCTGCCTCATCCTCTCAAGTACCTGGGACTACAGGTGTGTGCCACCGTACCCAGCTTTATACCTTAACTTTTAAAATGGCATATTGCTAAAGAGAAAAAAAAAAAAAGCAAGATTCAGACTGGTGTGCATAGTATGTGCATAAAAAATGAGAGGAAAGAATATGAAGTCATATTTGCTTAAACAACGACTGTAAGGATACTCTAGAATCCAAAGGAGACAGTCTACTTCAGTGGTGGATTTACCAGAAGCGGCCAGGGAGGGGAGAGGGAGGCATTTCACCTTTTTATCGTTTTGGACCTTTTTTTTTTTTTTTTTTGAGATGGAGTCTTGCTCTGTCGCTCAGGCTGGAGTGCAGTGTCGCGATCTTACCTCGCTGCAAGCTCCGCCTCATGGGTTCACACCATTCTCCTGCCTCAGCCTCCCGAGTAGCTGGGACTGCAGGCGCCCGTCATCACGCCCAGCTAATTTTTTGTATTTTTAGTAGAGACGTGGTTTCACCGTGTTGGCCAGGATGGTCTCGATCTCCTGACCTCATGATCCCCCAGCCTCAGTCTCCCAAAGTGCTGGGATTACAGGCGTGAGCCACCGCGCCCGGCCCTGTTTTGGACTTTTGAATCCTAAGCATAAATTACTCATTCAAACGCTTTTAGAAGTTTAAATTTAAAAGGAGTCCAGCCTGAGAATTGCTGCACTTCGACAGGTGAGTTTATGCCATTGACTTCTGTCATTTGAAGTTCTCCTTTAGCCTACATTTGTACTTTTCTTGCTTACCAGGTTTTTCCTCTTTCACATAGTGGGTTGAATTTTGTTGTTCCATTCCTCACCTGGCCCCAGTAATTTGAAAGGTTCTGTCTGTCCTGCAGTCAGTCACCCCCCACTGAACCCGCCTACTTAAGCTCATTGTTTCACCATGTCTAGAGTTGACCATTATCTATAACCTCCCACCAAGCAGGTCAAGAGCCTTTGCAGACATCTGCCAAACCTCAGCACCCCTCCCCCTACATATTTGGGAATTTTAGACTCAAATTTGGGAGAGGGAAGGTTTCAAAGAGAAATTAATGAAAATACTTAATTTTAAATAATTTTACTAGGCGCGGGGGCTCATGCCTCCAATCTCAGACCTTCAGGAGACAAGGTGGGAGGATCACTTGAGCCCAGGAGTTTTAGACCCTATCTCTACAAACAATAAAAGTGAAAAAATTAGCCAGGTGGGTTGCATACGTCTGTAATCCCAACTACTTGGGAGGCTGAGGCAGGAGGATCACTTGAGCCCAGGAGTTCGAGGCTGCAGTGAGCTATGATTGGGTCACTGTACTCCAGCCTGGATGACACAGTGAGATCATCTCTAAAATAAACAAACTTCTATACTTCCATCATGGGTCTTAGTATCTCACTACCTTCTCCTGAATTCCTTTTTGTTACTATTTATCTGCCAGTAATTCCTTTGTTGTGGGTTTGTGGGTGGTAATCTTTTTAAATTCTTTTATACTGTATTTGAAAATGTTGGCCAGGCAAGGTGGCTTAGGCCTCTAATTCCAGCACTTTGGGAGGCCAAGATGGGAGGATCGCTTGTGCTCCAGAGCTTAGGACCAGCCTGGGCAACGTAAGTGAGACCCCCGTCTCTACAAAAAAATTTTTTTAATTAGCCGGGCATGGTGGCACTCACCTATAGTCCCAGCTGCTCAGGAGGCTGAAGCAGGAGGATTGCTTTAGCCCAGAGTCTTGGAAAGAGTCCGCTTCCTGGCCCTTTCCAGTTCCATGGCCTTTTCTTCCATCAACATACATCCCTCCAACCCCTGACCCTGTCACCGTCTTCTCCTCCACTGTCACATCACCTCTCATGGCCCCGTCTCGGTCTCCAGCCCCATCGTTAGGAAACATCAGGTCCAGTAGGGACATGGGACTGGAGCACCAGGCCTCTCCTGGCCACTGTTGGTCAGTGACAGGCTCCCCCAGCCCGCCCTCACCCAATCACTTTCTCTTTAACATGGAAGCAGGCCTCCCTGTCATCCTCCGCGTCTTGGCTCAGCATTCCAGCTTCTGCTTATCCTCTAGAAACTTCACTGGGCCATAGTCCTGGTGGTGATTACTCTTTCCAGCTCTGTGTCACCTGGAAGCAACTCCAAGACCACCTCTGTGACTTTAACCAGTAGGGGAGCTGGGCTGGGAAGAGAAAGAGCAGTTTCAAGAGGCATAGGGATGAGAGGAAAGGGAAGAACACAACAGTCGCCACTTACGGGACTGACCAGCCAAACCTCTCAGAGGCCAAGTCTACTCAATTACTGTCTGGCCAGTCCTGCCCCTCAACCCCCACTTTGGGGGCTAAAGCTACTCTAGCTTGGATGCTGATCCCACATGTTGACCTCGATTAACCCTAGTTCTGGGAGTACTTCTAAGATTTCTACTTTCACGTACTTACCCTTAGGTCAAAAAAGGTTGATGTTATTGCAAACGCACACTTACCCTAAATCCTGGTCCTTAGGCAAATCCCCAGTGGTATGTAAGCCCTGAGTCTGGAGGGTAGCAGTGCAGGGATCCACCCTCTCATCTGATGGCTGCCTGAGACATGGCTTCTATCTCTATGTCCCTATTAAATGTTTCTGAGAAAACTGGATTTGTCCACCTCTTTCTTCAGCCTTTCAGCTCCCTCAGCCTTCAAGGGTAGGTCTTCCAGGGCTGCCATGTTCTCATCAGCCCTGACCCTCGGCCCACAGCAACTGGCCTGGAGATCGGTGGGCTCATGATTTGATTTTTGACCTTGGCACAGGGTCTGGTCAGTCTCTTGCTAAAGTGAAAGGTCTTAAATGTTTTCAATCGCGAAGGAAACACTGGTCTGCGGAGAGAGGAATAAGCTCATCGGGGATTTCCCCAAAGCACAGGACGCTCCAGCACGGATTCCTGGCTCGCTGTGGAAAGGCAGACAGGTGAGGTAGCTGTCACGAGGATCTGGGAGTGACGCATGGAAGTGACTACTGGAACAGATACCCAGGTAGTATGAATACGGACACTGACGGAATACAGATGTGTACACACCTATCCAGCTACATTTTATGAAATGGATCAAACATCTGGAAAAGAACATTTTTGCAGTCCAGTACAGACTTGGCATGCAAAGCTGCAGACCCCACCTCCATGCCCCACCTTTGACAATTGTCCCCAGGCCCCAGAAGTACACCCAGGTCGGGCCTGCCCTCCTCCTAGGCCTGGACCATTTCAAGACTCAGTCCCAGCCCTGGTGAGAATCCAAGAGCTGTCTCTGCTGCCGCATGAAGTGAGACAAGGCAGCCAACTGAGGCAGAATAGGGTCTGGAGGCAGGGAACCTAAGGGTATTTCATACTGACTTCCTAGAACTAAATCTAAAGGAAAACCCTAACTTTCCACACCTAAGTAACAAAAGGACCAGAGGCTACTCCCTTTGATCTTTTCTGTCCACAACCAATCAACTGATTGCACACTGAGTCTTCATTTGCACAGAAGTATAACTTTGTAAATTCATCCCTAATTGGTTGATTTTGGCAACCAATCAGATATTTGCACAGGGGTGTGACCTTAGTAACTTCACTTAAGCCTCTGGTTGGCTGCTGTCTGCAACCCACTGATTGCAGGTTACCACTTCATTTACCTGAGGTGAGCATGAAGTGGCCAATGGGAAACTTCTAAGGGGGTATTTGGACCCAAGAAGATTCTGTATCCGGGCCCTGGAGCCGCTGCTCAGGTCCGCGCCCACACTGTGGAGTGTACTTTTGCTTTCAATAAATCCCTTTCGTTTTTTTGTTGCTTCATTCTTTCTGTGCTTTTCTGGGCATTTTGTCCAATTATTTGTTCAAAACGCCAAGAACCTGGGCAACTTGCAGTCACAACCCTCTACCGGTGACACAATGACACCTCGCCGCCCTTCATTCGCCCTTGGAGTTGGCTGTGTCCGAGACTGCATCTCAGAGGAGGTGTGTGTCCAGAGGTCTCAGGGTTGCTCCTGGTGCCCTGTGAGGCATGAGGGGAGCAGGATGGGGTCGTGGCAGGTGGAGCTTGTGGAGGGCAGGAGCCAAGCTGGGTGCAGCCCCCGCTAAGCTGTCCTGGGGTGGGTGGGCCCTTGGGGTCCTCCCTTGTAAGCTGCCCCCGGCCTGGCACTGCAAGAGCAAGTAGAGCCTCACCTGTCCATAGAGAGGGCGCAGGGGAAGGAGCAGGTGTGTTGGGAGGATCGCAAAGTCCAAGCAGACGTCAGCTGAGCTCATTCCACATGCTGCTAACCTGCTCTTTGGGGCACTCCCCACCCTTGTTGGCCTCAATGGCATTTCTCCCCTCCTAGGTTTCCTGGTCCAGTATCCTACCTACTGTACCCATACCCCAAACTCTGCTCTGAAGCCCAATTCTTACCACGTGGCGTGTCTGTCCCAGCTGGCCACCTTCCTGGAATTCAGCCCAAATTAATACTTTGGGGAACTTCCTGCAAGGTTTCAAAGAAGCTTTTCTGATACACAGCCACCATGGAGGGTGTCCCAGTCCCTGGACCCTGCTGTGGATATGAGGACACCCATGCCCCACCAGCCGAGCCAGCTGCAAAGGACTCATAGTCCAGCCCCGGCCACCCAAGAGGACAGTGAGCACAGCCTGTCTGAGAATGGTATTTGAATCTTTAAGAAAATGAGACTGACTCCAAAATCTAAAACTATCTTTATTGTGGTTGGCTCGACATAAGATGCCGCCATCAATCAGCAGAATTATAAAACTGTACAGGAGGTACAAAAATAGGCTGTTTAACTTAGATAATGACCCTCATGTGTCTTCAAGCTTTAAAAATACACATAAAACTTGTACAATCTGGCAGTTTATAAAATATAAAGCTAAAAAGAGGATTTTGGGTTCCACAAAGAAGACTGTATCACACAATTAACACATACCAATTAAACAATTAACCATCCACACAGAAGACACAATGGCACAGAATTCTTAAAAATCACCTAAAAATTAACATTTTACCCCGACCAAATTAATCACCCTTTAATGACACTACTGTAAAGCATCTGTCCCATGGAAGGATACAGTATCACTTTTCCAGTTTTAAAATGGTCAGGGGTAAACAAATCTGATGTGCTTTAAGCAAGTACAATTGTAACTGGATACATTTCAGAGTAAAAATTAAATAAATATAAATAGGTTAAATAAATAGGTCATTGCAAAAAGAACACTACACAAGGTTTGCATCTGAGAATGCAGAGTAGGTGACTGGTAATGCTTTCTAGGTAAGTGGGGACTCCCCGTCACAGCTTTAGGGACACTGAAAAGGAATACTGTATCCACCAAACACATACACAGCACACAGGGGAGGTGGGGGCTTTGGCCAAAGTGTTGGTTAAGGCTGCTCCAGTGGGAGGCTCATTGCAGTCACGTTCTTTGTGGTTTTCCAATGTCTACAGAAAGGATTTAAGCGCTGGTACAAAAAGAACCAGGGTTACTCATGGGAAATCACTGTTTCATAAAGATAACAAAGTAGAGGAGGGGAGTAGACCATTGGGTTTAAAAGATGGTGTCCAACCTGGGAGGGTGGAATTTCGGCTCACCTGGAGAGGATGCCTGATGACTTCCTGCCAGGAGAAGCCAAAGCCAGGACACAGTCAACCAAAATGACTTCAGGATGGTGAGGGAAGGAACAAGGAAAAGAAACGCTGGGAAATTCAAAGAAAGGCAATCTCAGACACTAAAAGAGCAGAAAGAGAAAGCGAAACGGGGAACTTAAAGAGGCTCCTTCCAGGACGCTGGACTTCTCTTCCAGCACAGAAGGCTGCAAAAGTGGAACTGACCCCCCTTCCCAGAGGATCACAAGGCCGAGGATCCAATGGGCACACTACAAGGATCCAAGGAAAGGATAGAGAAAGAAACGGCTCTGGGAAAGCTAAACCTGGCCATAGTCCAACTGCCTGAAAAGAAAGCAGCCAAGATGAGAAAGTTGTACAATCCAAAGGTCCCCCCATCTGCATGAGCGGTTTGATCAGCAACCAATTAATCTCTCTCACTGCAGCGAGAAAGAATTGCCAAAGATAACTGAATCACATGCACACAAAACCTTACCAAAGGCTCAGGGCCAACTCTGATAAGGCCCTTTCTTCTAGAGTTGGTGGGAAGAAACTGCTGGATCTCTCACCTGCAGATCTTCCAGAACATCTATCTGTAACTGATCAGAGTGATGTCTCCTTGGAAGGGCCTCTGAGCACCACTGCACCGAGAACACAGCGGGAGGCAGAACACCTGCGCACCCAGGAGTTCACACTTCAGCTGCTAGATTGCTTCGCGGCTAATCAGGGAATACCAATGCTCCCCAAGTGAAAATGCTTTGGTGCCTCATGACTTGTGGACACTTCAAAAACTGAAATTAGGCCGGGCACGGTGGCTCGTGCCTGTAATCCCAGCACTTTGGGAGGCCGAGGCAGGCGGATCACAAGGTTAGGAGATCGAGACTATCCTGGGTAACACGGTGAAACCCTGTCTCTACTAAAACAAATACAAAAAATTAGCTGGGCATGGTGGCACGCACTGGTAATCACAGCTACTCGGGAGGCTGAGGCAGGAGAATCACTTGAACCCAGGAGGCGGAGGTTGCAGTGAGCAGAGATCGTGCCACTGAACTCCAGCCTGGGCGACAGAGCAAGAATCTGTCTCAAACAAACAAAAAAAACTGAAATTAAAAAGACTCGAGAAACAACAAGAGAAATTCTGGCACATGTGCCCAACAGAGGTTCAATACAAGGTTCAAGACAAGATTTAAATAAGTCATAGTGTCCTTTGGATTCCTAACACATGTGACCAAGTTCCATCTTAAAGATGAAGATAGCGTACAGTATTTCTAAAAAGTTCAACAGCCTTCCGGGATTGGAGAAGTCCCATAACCTGAACTACAGATCAAACAGCTAGGATGCAACACGACACGCGATGGTGCAGAGCTGTTCTGGCCTGAAAAGAACTTTCCACTCGCTGAGCACAGTGGGAAACCAGAATTCTCGAGACTAGAACTGGATACACCAGATGATGCCCAAGGTGTTTTCATGACAAGTACCCACACGGGATCTCTTCAAACAAATCCCCCAGAGGATGGACGGGAACCTGGGCTCCTAAAGGTGACTAAGAGGAGAGACCAGAGGTGATTGGACCAGATCCCTGTGATTCTGGGACAGAAGAGATGAAACTGCAAACACGTGCCCTTCCCCACACACTTCGGTTTCTTTGTGGCAGCAACACTTTTTTATTGTTGTCTCTCATCACAAGTTTCAGGAAAGCAGTTTTGCCTGTCTTGTTCATTGCTGTATCTCCAGCACCCTATATCCTGCCTAGCTCAATACAGTAAGTGCTCAAATAAAATACACTGAATAAATGATTTTGAGAAATCTGGGTGGTTAGAAACTAGTACAAGCAGAAAAGGCATTTGAAACAGTTGTCTCTAGGCAAGTAGGGCTAAAGCAGGGAGATGACACAAAATTGTGCCGCTAGAAATCACCTGGGTACTCCCAAAGAGAAAATCTGTGCTGAGAACAAGGTGGGGGGCAGTCCCTGTGGCAGTCCTGCTAAACCACTCGTGGCAGCTTCTCCACCTTCTGATCCTCTCTTGGGTTACTGCCAAAGCCCACAGGTAAAGCGCCTTGCCGCCGTGTGGGGAGCAGTCTCAGACCACTTGGCACACGGCAACGAGCAGCAGGAAACGCAGTCTGGCCACGTTTCTGAAAAGTGCACAGCCTTGCTTAGAAGACGCCAAGGACACCGACCAAGGGCCAAGGTTCCAAGGCCTAAGTGAGGTAATCAATGAGATTTAAGGATGTAGGATCATGTTAATAGTAGGCACAAAAGTCCCTTTAGCTATGATGAAAGGAGGAGAACTGAATTCTATAAAGGCAGAGTAAGAGCTTTAGATGAGTAATCATGATACAAATACACAAACAGAAAACATCTTACAACATGAAGAAACAGTGATTTCTCTGTGAGTGAGTAAAATTCAACAATCCCATTCTTAATACTGAATGGAGTCTCTGAGTTCACCAGGCCTGAGCCGCAATGATCCCCCAAATGGCTGGAGAAAGTACACGGACAACATCTCCTTACACAGTAGGCTGATTGCATTTTAGCCTCTAAGGCTCTTGGGAGAGAAAAGACAAAAGTTTTGATGGAAACTAAAGCTAAAACTTATGTTAAGTTTAGAAAAAAACAGTATGGCACAAACATAATCTAGAGACTGTTCAATACATTTACATAGTGTTGCTATAATGTTTTACTCTTCAGCATTAGAGAATGTTCTATACATGAACACTCTTTCTTGAGGGGATGGTGATTTTTGGTACCACAAAAAAATAGAAGATGTATTCTATCTATTTATTCTTCACAAGTAAGCTTCAAGTTTAGCTTACTCATGCTGACATAGCATTCTACAGTATAATTAAAATATAGTTATTAAAATTTGCCAAGAAAAACAAAACAGCTGGCCCATGAAGCACACAGTGACCCTGGCCTTGGCCCCACCCTGGCCCTGACTCACCATGAGCCTCTTGTTCCACCAGCCTTGGGGACGAAGGAGGCTGACTGACTACTCGCTGGCCCAGGGCTTTCTCCTGATGACCAGGAGGGTCCCATTCGGCAGCCTCCCTCCGGTCCTGAAGGCTAGCCCCTGTCTGGGTCTTAGCTGCTCTCCTTGAAGGCCAGGGAATCTTTACCTCTTGCCCCAAGCACTCCTGAGCACCACCTCCAGATGGCCCAGGGCACATCCACCAAAGGCCACTGTTCTGGCCACTGGCACTGAGCCACGACTGCCTCCAGAACACAGCAGCCTCTTCATTTCTGAGACCTGCAGACACGACCCCACCTGCTGGCATGCATAGCTGACTGGTCCCTAATGCCATGCCTCATGCTCACGGCTCCTGCCTCTGTAGAAACACTAGTTAACAGTGACCTGGGCTACTCTGGGCACATCTGTGATCAATGAGGCATCTCATACCGCAGGACGACACCCTCTGAACTCCATCCTCCTTGTCAGCATCCCCCACCACTCAAGTCCGGTCTCCAGCGAAGGCTGCACTTGGTGCGTCTCAGCCTAGCTGCCCCAGCACGAAAGCAAAATGCAGGATTCCCTCCTCCCCCTTCCTGAAAGGCCCACAGACTTGACATTAAGCAGGAATTTAAAAAAAAAAAGTCTGAAGCAAGTTTATCCAGTAGACGGTTGGGGGTGCTACTCGCGCGGTCTTTGAGGCTCTCCTTTGCAGACATCCTGACTGTAAGGCTTTTAGGGCCAGCATCTTCCCAGCTCCCTGTAGGTCACGAGGGGCCACTTCTCCCACTTCCTGGGGTCAGCACTGTCCTCTGTGGGCTGCAGAGCAGGCGGCTCAAGGCACTTGGTTTGGGAAGCCTGGTCTCCCTGCAAAGCCGGGAGGTGTCAGGCTCTAATTGTGGTGACCAGGCCCTCAGTCACAGCTGGGGCCACCAGAACACAGGGGCCGCCCTTGCTCAGAGGGCGTCTGGAGTCACTGGGGGCTGGGGCTCTGGGGGCCTGTGGAAGTAGTAGGGCTGGAAGAGTCTCTCGTGGCTGCACAGCTCCATGGCCCGGTAGGTGTGTGCGAGGAGGTGGGGGAAGCGAGACGTGAAGTAGCACACGAAGTCGTCAGGGAGGGACCCCAGCGTCTCCCGCACCTCCGCAGGCAGTTCCCGGTAGTGGTGCTTCTGCAAAGAGAGTTGGAAAGCTTGGGAGGTTAGAAAGGGGTTAGAAAGCTTGGGAAGTGTTGGCAAAACACCCTTTCATCATGCAAGGAAGAGAAAGAATATGAGTGTTGGTTGGTTTTTGGTAAAGAAAAGGAAAAAAGGCTTATGTATCCAATAATCCAGCCCCATCATCTCCCTTGCTTCCCTCACTCAGGAGGAGGCCTCGAAGCGAGCAAGGCCCAGCCGGTCCAGCGGGGGCTCAAGCCTTCTGTGACAGTCAGGACCTGGAGACACTCCTGGTCACCTCAGGAGGAGTAAAGTCGCCTGAGACTGGAGTGTCTGTCCCAGCGGGGTCCCCGCATTCGAGGCATGTTTATACATGTTCCCACACAGTGGCTGCATCAGACAGGGAGAAGGCCCCACAAAAGTCAGTAACCAGAGACCAAGAGGGACACGGGCCGCAGAGCACTGCTTCCCAGAGCTTCATCTGCACCTGCGTCCCTGAAGGGAAAACCAGCATAAAAGAAGCAATAGCCTGCAGTTTGTCAAGTCCAGCTGAAGCTGCCTAGCTCCTGAGAGATGAGAATGCCAGCACGGATAGAAGATTTATCAAGAATGGATGAAAGGAGGAAGGTGTCCGTGTCAGCGTGAGCAGCATCCCCAACCGTCTACTGGATAAACTTCCTCCCCAGTATTTACACACCACTTACCTTATTTCTCATGGCTCGGAGGAGATCTCTGACAGAACCACCTTTATAGGTCCTGAATTTACGCAGGTCTAGAAAAACATTGAGGGACGCAATGGGTAATCAAATTTAAAACTAATACATTCTAAAAGAAAACAATTCCCGGGTTCTGGGGATTACGGAGTTGGACTGAAAGGTGAGGTCACTCCACACCCAGTCACAGGAGCAGATCCTCCCATCCAAGCCAAGGGTGGTGTCCTCCTGAACCCCACCTGGTGATCGCACCCAGATCGGAAATGACCACCTAGAGCATGACACCATCACTCACCTGTCACTCTAGGGAACAAAAACGAAACACACATCAGTGTAACCAAACCACAGGGGACACACCCAAGAAAGTCTCAAACCCGACAAGTGGGATCTGGGGCCTGAACAGCCTGGAGCGTCCATTTCCACGTTTACTTCTTGGAAAGGCGGCAGCGGCTTTTGCAACATGCCCTCTCACACGCCGCAGTGTGCTCACCTGTCTGGAGGGGGACGGTGATGTTCTCCCGCCAGTCCATCTTCACCACGGCTCTCCCGCCTCTCTCTAACTGCTTCACAATCGGGCCATCCAGGGATTCCTTTTCTATTCTGTCGCTCACGTCCTGTGAGAGAAACAAGGGCAGCAGATGATGGACAGTGCCGGAGATACTGAGAGCTGTGCGATTGGGATTCTGAGTAACAGACGGTCACTGGCACATGAGCCATGAAGGGATGACGGCCCCTAGGCCCAGACTGCAGCCTGCCCCCGAGCTGGGCAGCAGGCACCCTGCCCTCTGCCTCCCTCATCCGTGTCTTTCCCTGTGAGGTGCCCTGTCTGTTCCTCATGAAGGACAGGTCCACAGAGAGCTTCTCCATGACAGAGAAGCTTCACAGAGTACACCTGCACATAGACCATGAACGCATACCCTGAATTTCACATGTGCACACACGTGCCATGTGTATGAAGCCACAAGTGCAATCTATATCCAACGAACCAAAACCAAAAAGAAAAGGAAAGCTCAGATTTGATGTGCATCCTGTGCTTTGTCTACTCACTGAAACATGGTATGCTCAAGCCCATAACTGGTGGAGGGTCGCCACTCCTCCCTCCAACAGTAGAAAAGACCAGTGAAGCCGGGCCTTCTTCTCAAAGAGGAAACTTGGTGGCAAGAGTATGGGCTCCAGGGGCTTCTGTTGGGATTCAAACCTTGCTCTGCATTTGACTTTGGAAATAAGGAGAGGGTCAGGAAGCACCCAAGTACAGGCCTCTTGAAGTCCCATCAGTAAGACAGGTCGACAGCTGAGGACACAGGGAGTGGTGAGCCCTGCCTACATCAATGTTAAGTAGCCTTAGGAGACCGTTTTCTCAGAGCAGCCTTTTCTATGATGAAGACGAAGCCAGACTGGCTGAATTCCTACTTTACAATTGTCAGAGAAAAGCTGTGGAGAGGTCAGATTGTCAGCTTGGGTGCACTGGGAACACACGTGTCTGAGCTGCAAAGCTGTTACAGCTAAATGACCTGGGTGGAAGCCAGGTGTGTTTGACAGACATATACCTGGAGATACTAAGCATTTAAATCCTGTCCCATGGTGGGTGAAGGTCCCTTTGCATGGGTTTTATTCGTGTTCTGTATTTTGTGATCGAAATGACCTGGCTGGTTTTCACAAGTCCCTGGAAGACATATGGACTTGAGGATTTTCACATCATGTCCATGGACACAGTGACCAATCCTTAGGCTATAACATGGAAGACAGCATTGAACTCTCCCCAGCCCGATCCATCTGAATGGTTTCTGAGCCCCCACCTTGGGCCAGGAGGCAGGGACACAGTAGTGAATGCAGTAGTCAAGCACTCCTGCCCTCGAGGAGCTTACATTCTGGGGGCTTCCCTCTGGCCAAGGCCCCAGTCCAACCCCCGGAGAGCATGACGGTCACTTCTGAGTATGGTGCTCACTAAAATGTACTCTGCCTGGACCCAAGGGGAAAAGTACTGCCCCACAAGCCTGTTCTTCGGAGCCACGCACTGGGCAGGAGGCGATCAGGTGAGTTATGTTCAATTCATACATGGAAGACTTTGAAAAACACATTACCTCTTCAAAAGTCACCTGACATTGTCACAAAGCTTTTAAATAGTCAAACTGCCAAAGGAGTTCTAACTTTGCAGAACCTATTTTAAGCAAAATGAGATCTGGGCAAAGACTGTGTAAAAGATGATAGAACCAAATACAATATAAGAAAGCATTTAAATTTATGACACTTGGGCTGGGTGTGGTGGTTCATGCCTGTAATCCCAGCACTTTGGGAGGCTGAAGCGGGCAGATCACCTGAGGTCCGGAGTTCGAGACCAGACTGGCCAAGATGGTGAAATCCCATATCTACTAAAAATACAAAAAAAGTTAGCCAGGCCTGGTGGTGCATATCTGTAATCCCAGCTACTCAGGTAGCTGAGGCAGGAAAATCACTTGAACCTGGGAGGCAGAGGTTGCAGTGAGCCAAGATTGCACCACTGTACTCCAGCCTGGGTAACGGAGTGAGACGCTGTCTCAAAAAATAAATAAATAAATAAATAAACTTAAGACACTTGAATGAAATTACATGATGCCTGAGATTTGCTTTGAAATAACCTGGGGAGGGGAGAGGGTGAAGGTTAATACTTGTTGAACCTGAGGGATGAATAAAGGAGTGCTTGTTATAGCGTTTAAACATTTATGTATTATATGTTTGGAAATTCCATAATCTAAAACTTAACAATTATGGCACATCCATATGAAAGAATACTATGGTCATTGGAATTTTAGAACTTTAACATGAAAGATACAATTGAAAAAAAAAAGCAGGTTCTGAAACTGTATATATGGTTAGATCCCAAGTATACTTTTATATATGAAGAAAACATTAAAACATCAGCCATGATTATCTCTCAGTTTTAGGGTAATAGGCAATTTGTTTTATTCTTTGTCCTTTTCTATATTTTCAAAATCTGAAAAACATTAAATGAAGACTCTGGATAAAGAGAACAAACGTCTCTACCTGGAAGAACTGGAGCTGCTTCTCTAGGCTCCAGAAGAACGGGTGTTTCAGCACGTGCTTCGCTGAGGGGCGTTTCTGAGGATCCATCGCAATCATCTTCTCTATCAATTCACGTGCAATGACGTCTTCTATAAAGGAGGAAAATAAGCAACTCACGATTACCAGTCCAAAGTCACAGGGAAATACCAAAACTTAAAAAAGGTGCATACCCTCTCATTTATGATTCTATTTAGAGGAATTTATTCCAATCAAATAATTAGGAACAGACACAAAACCTTAGCCAATGAGGTGAGTCCTCACTGCATGGTTTGTGAAGGAAGTGACTGTGAACATCCAACATCAGAGGCCCGAGTGGATATATTACTGTGCCTCTCTACGCTGGGCCATGAGCTGTTAAAATGCAGCTGTGGCTAAATACAGATTGTTGTGGACAGACATTCAAGGTGACGTTGAAAAACGTCCATGTTGCAAAACAGGATGCAGGATTTAACCTTATCTTTATAAAATATGCATACACGTCTAGATAAATGACTAGAATAACATATATGCAAAGATATTAACAGCCATCATTTATCCCTGTATAATGGGACTACATGGGCCTTTATGCTAATCTGTGTTTTCTACAATAACGAAAATCAACCATAAACAAAACAATAATTTAGTTTGAATTTTTTCAAAAGGCAGCATTGGAGTGTCATGGGCCAATTACCAGCCAGGAAAACCTGAAGTCTGAAAGAAAGACTTATTGCACCCACACCAGGAGACCAGCAGGGTGAGGATAAAGCTTGTCTGTCCCCAGCCCAGCATGGACCGCACCTGCTGACCACTGGCCCTCACAAGAGAGAAGACAATTTGTCTTCCCAAATGCCAGTGCAGGAAGGGACCACAGATTATTTAACCCTCATGTCACCAGGTAGAAAAAGAAGGTCTCCAAAGGGGGCTTTGTCTAGGTCACACAAGTAGTTGGTGACCTGGAGGAATCTTGGAGCGTCTCAGCTTTAGAAGGTGGTGCCCCAGGGATAACCCTACCAACCCTCTACCAGATTCGGCACAAGTCTGTATGTTCCTGAGGCCTGTGGGGTGAGCAGCTGGGGCGCCAGGGCCTCTGTGAGTACAGAGGTGGCACAGCCCAGCTCCGCAGGGCCACCTGAGGCAGCTGAGGAGCTGCTCCCAACCCCGACCCCTGGACTGCTCACCGTGCTTCTCTGGGTGCAAGCACTCGAGGCTGCAGGCACCCAGGAGGATGTTGGCCTGCCGCTGCAGGGACTTGCCAAAAGGGTGGCTGCCCTCAGAGATCACGTAGTAAAAGACGCAGCCTGCAGAAAAGATGTCCACCGTGTAGGTCTGAAAAGAGACATGAGGCATGAGAGGTGTGGGAGCAGAGTTTCCATCCTCACTCACAGCCAGGGAGGGAGGAGCACTGCTGCTGCTTCCGCCACCTGGAAGGTGTTCTGGGAGAATCAGCTGATATACGTGAACTGCGCAGAGCAGTGAGGGGTAACCTGCAGCACTGCACGGGTGTCAGAGGTCACAGTGGAGAAGCTGGGCTTGGAGCCACCTAGAAGCCCCTGGTTCCCTCTCATGTGAGATGCGGACACTGACAGCATGCTCCTCATGGGGTTGTTGTCAAGAGAGATGCGTTAGTATGCAAAAATGGTTGCTTGTGACAGTGCTTGGCCCATCAAAAGCTCTCCTGGCTGTTATATATTCCTTACCCCCAACATGAAAGTGCTCACAGGCAGGGTCTCTGCGTCATTGCTTTCCTGCTGTACCCCCAGGGCCCAGAATGGTGCCTGCACACAGTAGGTAGCAAAATTGCTAATAAGTGAATAAAACAGCTTATGATTCAAAAACAGCCCCAGAAACAAACTATCTGACAAGTTACCAAGGAGGTCATTTTTGATGTTAATCCGAGAAAGCCTCTCACTTATGCCATGAAACCATTCTGTGTCTACAGACGAGCTTCCTTTGAGGGAAATGTACGTTTGTGTTTTTTAGCTCATGCTACCTGGGGTGTAACACCAGGGTGGTTCCTGAGCACAGCTCAGGTCCCTGTTACTAGGCCCCGCCTCTGAGATTCTCCACCAGGTGAAGTGAGGGTCTAGTGAGAGGAACCAGGGGTTCATCGCCTTCCATGCTGGAGGAGACACACCTTGAACAACACAGCACTCTCAGCCTCACAACAACATTGTGAGGTGAGCAGAGCAAATACTTTCATCCCCAGATAAGAATGTGGATAGAAAGGTTGCATGACAAGCTCAGGGTCACTGCTGGATGTGACAAACCAGGATGGCATTCAGGTCTTCCAATCTCCAAACCTACCATGCTTTATTCCACCTCACCAGATTTTCCCTTAGGAAGGCGCTGGATTCAGGACGGGAGGAACATGGCCACCACGGCTGGAGCTCGCCCCTGATTCCCAGAGCTCTCCGGGTCTCCCACGCCCCCTACACTCTGTGCCACCTGCTGTCCCAGCATAGTCAACACTGAGGTGAAGAGGCATCTTTCCAACCTCCGTGGCCCCAGTTATGTTCTTTCCCAAACTTATTATTGCCACTTGTCCTTGTAATTTGAATATTCCATAAGCTGTCAAACATGAGTGCCACGAATTTTGAGGTAAGCTGAATCTTTAGAAAGACTCCACAAAGGAAAGGGAATGGTTACAAGAGCTGTTGCGGCATTCGGTGTGGTGGACTCAACCGTAAGGGACTGGGTCACGAAGCGTTAAAAACCAGGCTTCTGCTCTCAAATCGCTTAGGAAGTGTTTGAAGTGTCCAAGCCTCCATGCAGAAGTGGCACAGGAGTGTGCTTAATGCAAGCTGGAAAATGAGGACTCCAGTCAGTCAGACCCAAATCTGAAAAGACCTTAGCCTACAGTACAAGATTTCTGTGACTTAAGGGCTTATATTACTTGCTTTAAGTTAAAATTAAGTGTTACGGCGTGTGTACGTGTTTTTATGATTCTTCGCTGTAACTGACTTCTTTGATGAACTGACCAGCTGCTGGTCCCCAGTGAGCTGGGTAAGAGAGGACCATATCTAATCCACTCAAGATGGCTGACCCATCCAGGTCTCCATCGGGCAGTGTCCAAGGTGAGCCTCAGCGACCTGTGCTAGAATAAGGTGCTCAAATGTGAGTGCACTCCTAGCAAACGGATGCAGAAGCCAGCTTGAAGGGGTTCCAGGTTGACCAAATTTGGAACAATTTGTGTATCAAAAGAAGTAAATAACAAAAAAAGGATGAAAATGGATTATAACATTAGTTTCAAAATCCTTGAGCCCATAGTGATCAAGAAAAAAAAAAAAAAAACGAGAGAGAGAGAGAAGAAAGTGAAAAGAAAGCTCTGCTTTACAGAAAAATGTCAGCTAATAACGCAGAAGAATTTCTACTGAACTGAGTACTTCAGGCAAGGGTGATCAACACATGCTAAACCACTGCGTGAGTGACTGTCAGTAAACAGGATATCACATTGTGCTGAAGGATCACCCCAAATACTAACAACAGAGGAGGAAATGAACCCTTATGATAGAGAGATCAACTGTAGCATCACTAAGAGGAGGCGATAACAATCTTACAGATACGATCTTACAGATACAATCTGCCATCACATGCTTCCTGATGCAGAGACCTGTGATCTACTCATGCCAAAAACATTTAACTTGAACCTAATCAAGCCTCTACACCTGACTTCTGGTTTCCAGGAAATACGAGGAATACAGAGAAATGTTCAACGTTGTCATGAGGAAACAAGTAAATAAATCAGAATGGGGCATTTTATAACCCACTGCCTGGACTCTTCAAAATGGAACTTCAACATGGAACAAAATACAGGTGGAAAGATGTGTAAATTCCAAGAGACAGAATCAAATGTAATGCAAGACACTTGATTCCATCCTGGTATACAAAACCCAGTAGGTGTCGAACCCAGTAGGTAGCTAAATACGCAGCTCTATAAAAGACATTTGGGGACTAATTGGGGAAATTTGAATATGGATTGAATATGAGATGATGGATAGAAACAGTATTAATTGTTGAGGTGGGATAATGGTATTGTGGTTGGAAACACAATGTATTCCTTAGGAGACACGTGCTGAGGTCTTCAGGGGTGAAGGGTCAGGATGCCTGCTACTTATATTCAAATGGTTCAGTAATAGGCAAAGATAAAGCAAACGTGGCAAAAGTTTTAACAAACGTTGAATCTAGGTGGAGGTACACAGGTATTCATGTTAACATTCTTTCAGCCAGACGCTGTGGCTCATGTCTGTAATCCCAGCACTTTGGGAGGCTAAACCTGAGCCCAGGAGTTTAAGACCAGCCTGGGCAAAATAGCGAGATTCCACCTCTAAAAATTTTTTTTCTTTCAATTTTCTTTATGTCTAAAAATTATCAAAATAAGTTGAGAAAACAAAAAAATTTAAAAATAATGAAAACTTGAAGTTTGCTCACGCTGTGCAAGTCCTGACTTCCCAGTTTACCAAAATTAAAAAGGGGTTAAAAAGTGATTGATTTAGCTGGGTGTGGTGGCAGGTACCAGTAATCCCAGCTACTCAGGAGGCTGAGGCAGGAGAATCGCTCAAACCTGGGAGGTGGAGGTTGCAGTGAGCTGAGATCACGCCACTACACTCCAGCCTGGGTGACAGAGTAAGACTCTGTCTCAAAACAAAAAACAAAAACAAACAAAAAAACAAACAAAAAACCAACCAACCAACAAAACAAACAAACAAAAAAACAAGTAATTGGAAGAATAGGGGAAAAAAATAGATAATTGCCCACATTTGCCCCTTTAATCATCTGAACATGAGATGACATAGAAAGTTCATACAGAAGCTCTTGGTGAAAGGAATGCCATTCTCCAGCTACACGGGCATCAGCCCCCGAACCTGGAATTTAAAGGTTCTACTCCTGAAGATACAATGGGCTGGTTCTGTAGTTTTCAAAGGGCCATAGCCTATTACTCACAGGGTTCTCCTTACAGTCTTCGCTCAGCATCTCTGGAGCGATCCAGCCTTCTGTGCCAGGCACCCCAGATCGGCGGCTGAAGCTGTGCCTGCCCGCTGCCAGCTTCTTGCACAGGCCAAAGTCAGAGATCATGGCCTTGATCTTGCCATGTGCATTGGGCATGGATATGAGAATGTTGTGGGGCTTTAGGTCTCTGTGAACTAATAGAGAACTCCAGATTAGTCCAATGCTTACCAGGAGCAACCCCAGGCCTCCTCCTCCAATGGGGAGTATGTCCTCGTCAGACTCCCAGGATGCCTGCCACCACCTGGCTCTGGTATTCAACTATGTAGATTCCTCCTCAAATTCTTACACCACTCATCTTTGCTACTGGCGATGTAGCCAAGAGATTGAACAGAAGCAAGGCCCACCCAAGCTACTGGTTAGCCCCACCTGGGTCACTGATTACCCCTACCCAGGCTGTTGGCCTGGTAAAGCGCGGCCTCTCACCGATGTTGAGGGAGTGAAGGTGGGCCAGGCCCGAGGTGGTCTGCTGCAGCAAGGTGATGGGCTCCAGGCCGAGATGCGCAAAGTCCTTCTGCTCCACATACTGCAAAAGACATGACAACAAGGTCACGGCACACAGTCCTCAGGACTTGGCCCCTCAGCTTGTTTTCTTTGATACCATTTTAAGAAAGAAACGGGAAGTTTTACTGACAACATTCTGTCTAAATCTATATTTTCCAACAAGGAGCAAAGCTCCAATCTACTAATTTACAATAAGAAAGATAAGAAGGCAAGAAACTCAAGTTCATTGCCTCATATAGGTAAACCTACAAAGGAATCCAAATGATACTGATAGAGTTTCAAGGTGAGCCTGGAAACTGAACAAAAGGAGTTTGCTGGATGATCTTAAAGCCTAGAGTTACCAGCCGGCATCCTTCAAGCCCACACCAGCCATGACTGAAGATGGGAAGAACAACTGTCCAGGTTTCCTGGAGGCAAAGAGGGAGAGACATGCCAACTGCAAGCAGACTGCCCAGGCATGCAGGGGGACCACCCTGTTACAACTAGAGGGATGAAAATGCTCCACATTTTGACTGTGTATGTGGTTAAATGGGTATAGACATTTGTCAAAATTCATCAAGCTGTACATTTAAAATGAATACAATTCACTGTAACTTTTTTTTTTTTTTTTTCTGATGGGTTCTCACTCTGTTGTCCAGGCTGGAGTACAGTGGCACAATCACTGCTTACTGCAGCCTCGATCTCCTAGGCTCAAGCAATCTTCCCACCTCAGCCTCCCAAGTAGCTGGGGCTATAGGAGCACAGCACTAGGCCTGGCTAATTTTTGGTTTCTTTGTAGAGATGGGGTTTCACCATGTTGTCCAGGCTGGTCTCAAACTCCTGAACTCAAGTGATCTGCTCACCTTGGCCTCCCAAAGTGCTATGACTTTAATAAAGTTAACAAAATAATAAAAAAAAATCAATCCACCTCTTGCAGGGTGGCTGCACACAGCTCGATGGCAATGTACTGGAATTGCCGGTCCTTCTCCGTGCAGAAGTAGCGGATCACGTTCGGGTGCTCATCTGATTCTCGCAACAGCTGGACCTCACGGTCTGCGAAGCTAAAACACTCGGGGAGGATCCTCTTCACGGCCACATCACGGTTGTCAAACATGCCCCTGCGGGATGAGGAGCAGGAGTCGTGTCTGGTAAGCACGAGTCAGGCTGTGTAAACGAGGTGAGAACCTGGGTCCACAGCATTCAACTACTGCTTCCCAGCCTAGAGGGCCCCGACTGACTGCCTGGTGGCCCCGGAATCATTGCTTCCCTCAGTGTGCAAGCTCCCTGGAGGCGGGACTCCAAGTGCCTAGGTCACTGCTTTGACCCTGTTGTGCTCTGAGCCTGGCACCAGGCTCGCAACCTGACAGGCAACAACTTAGACACCAGGCGGTGAGGGCAGGGGGCTGGCTAATCCACTCACCGGTACACAATTGTGCCCTCAGCTCCATGGCCCAGGACGTCCTTGGGACAGAAGGAAATTTTCCCAACTATCACCATGCTGGTTTCCTCATCTGGGACAAAACAGGAAAAAGAGAGATTGTTTCAAACTGATTATCACCTAAAGAACCTTGAGGTTAACGTGGTGGCAAGCTTCCTGACCTCAGATTAAGAGATGGAATTTAAGAGGCACTGCACCCCAGACTGCTGCTCAGGAAGAGCCTGCCGGGCCCACTCCCCATGTACACCCAGGGCTGCCTCTTCCCCCTGCCCCTGCATTCTGTTTCTGCCTTTACCTTACTGTGTGATTGCATATCTTAAAACCTTCTGGAAGGCAGGCATTCTCCATAGCGTTTCATATACTTATACATATTTATTGTGATATAGTTAGAATGGTTTAATGGTTAACAACAACCACGAAAGTCCACTGTAAAGATCTGCACTGAAACACTCAGGAGGCGGTGGTGGACACGTAAAAATGAGGAGACTGCCCGGGACAGAGGGCTCTGAGGTCCCTGCACCAGCTCTGTGCCAATTCCCTCAGAATTGGGGCTCTGACAACTGGCTTGAGCCAACTTCCACAGAGGAAAGCAGATAAACTGTGACACTTTCACACTTGGCCACCAGCTGGCCCTGGGAACTCTCTCCAGCCCAATGGGCAGCTCACCTCTGGTCAGCCGCGACACCCAGCCCTTGTGGAGAGACAGGGGGATGGCCAGGGTGGTCCCCAGAAGGCCCTCTGAGGGGGAGATGCCAAGGGATGGGGCAGAAGCCTTCCTGCAGAGACCCTCAGAGTACCAGTTAGAGGAGAACACAATGCATCCCTGAGAATGGCACTTTACAATCTTATGGAGACTCCTTGGACTTCTCAGGAGGTGCTCGAACAAAACACGAAATAGCATCAAGATGGCAATTGGCTTTACCTCCGTCGTCTTGCTCCAGGGAGGGGCTGCTGCCAGCCTTGGAGGCAGAGCTGCCGGAGCAGAGCGAGTGGTTGGAGGCCCTGGGGGACGTGTTGGGGCTGCTGGTGCCCGAGCTCTCTGAGTATGGGCCAGATGTGTCCAGAAGCTCGCCGTCCTGAGCCGTGTCTCCAGGTGGGTGGAAGGGCAGCTGCTGCTGCTGCTGCTGCAGGAGCTGAATCTTCTCCAGTTCCTTCTGGAACTGCTGGTGCTGGAGCTGCTGCTGCTGATGCATGCTCTGGGAAGAGAAACCCATATCCAGACAAGGGCAGCTGTTCCCACAGGGAAACAAACAGCTGGGAAGGGACAGGTCCCAGTGGTGGAGGGAGCATGTGTACTTTATGTGACCCCACAGGGCACAAAGAGACCAGTGAGAAGGCACCTGGAGGCAGAATCGCTTTGACGACTGGAGGTCTTTCTGCCGACTAGTTAGATCCTTGCTCGTACAGCCCACTCCCCAACCCTAGGAGGGGCTGGATGGCCACCAGGGGAAGGACTGTGTCCTAGGCTGAGGGCTGTGCCAGTTTCATTCGGTTCTAAAATTCTGTGATTTTTATGAAAGTCTGAGAGTTGTTGCAAAGGTGAAACCAAACAGGAAGCACAGGTAGCATGGCTGAGCCAGTGGTGGGTGGGGGCAAGCCCCAGGTTTGCCATCTACCATGTCTGTGTGTTGGCTAGAGGCTAGCGCACAGATGCTCAGTAGTCCAGAGGGGCAGGTGAGGAAGCTGTGCTCCCCTGCACACACACTGCCAGGAGGTGGCAGTGGGGCTGACACATGGTGAGCCTGGCTAAGGTCCTGCTTCCCCCTTTCATCCCATTGCCTTCCCCGTGGCCACATGCCTCTCAAATACCTGAGGATTCATTCTGTAATTACCTGAAGTAGTAGCCATCTGTGATTATCCCTACCCATGTCCAGGAGGTGGACTGAAGGGACTTCTGTGAGCCACCAACCCACCAGGGAGTCATCTCTCCTTCCCTCCGCCACGGGATGGAGTCCTGGAAATGCTGCCTACTAGCTGGGTACCCGTAAGGAAAGTTACTTAGCTCCTCAGGATCTACTTGCTTCCTTTGTGGACAAAAGAAAATCATTATTGACCTATGAGGTCAATAATAATGACCTCATAGGACTGAGTGAGGTGAAAAGTGAAACCATCAGGTGCAGACGTGCCAATGGGGAGTGCCGTAAAGGGTCTGTCATTCCCATTCCTGGGCGGGTCATTAGCTTCCTGAGCTCTCAGGTAACAGCATCTCCATGCTCTGAGCAACCTGCTGAAGGACCACTCCCCTCACATATTTCATCCCAGCCACAGCCTGCTCCGCTACGGAGCCTGCTCGTTTCCAACTAGGAAGTAACGGAATGGCCATGCTGCCTTTTTCACACAAGCTGATCTCACGGGCAGCTTCTTTTTTCTTTGATTGGTTCTTCTCCCCAGCAGACGTTCTAATGGCAGTTTTTAAGAGAGGAAAGGTCTTCATCTATTATCCTTATTCTTTAAAAATACAGATAACTACTCAAAATCATCTTTGAGCAAGGCTTATACATCAGCTCGCTCTTGAAAAACACTAAGATTTAGGTACCAAATTGTCCTTTTCTGGGAGGCTAGTCTCTTTAATTATGTTTTTGAAGATAAACACTGACTTTTAAATGGGGAACGAAATGTGCTGGTTGTTTTTGTCTCGATCTCACTGACGTGAGGTGACAGGCAGAGAAGCCCCAGAAACAGGTGGAGGGCAAAGGAGAAGTGCTGAGCTTTACCAGGGGGTAGGTGATGATGAAGGCCACCCAGCCAATCAGCAGGAAGGTGCTCAGGATGATGGTGGCCACGTCCTTGAGCATGGAGTCCACGGGGGCCTCGGGCCGGGCGGGGGCATGGGCGGGCTTCTCCTCCACATCCCGAGACACGGTGGTAGGTGCGTTTTCTGAAGTCTGGTCAACCAGGTTGATAACCTTGCATGGGAGAGAGTTGCGACATCACTGCAAAATTTGTAGCCAGATACAGATGAGGCCAGCAATCAAGAGAGGCAATCACTGTTTACAAGGATATGACTGTACTGCAGGGTGTTGTATTTGTTTTAAGCTCACCAAAGATCATGTAGGCAGATAATTGTTGCCTCCTTCAAAGCAATTGCTTTGAGAGACCATGCATCTTTGCAGTGAGGTTATCATTATTCAAAAATAGTTTTTGGAGCAATACTTTTGGCAGGTGTCTTCAGACCCTACATATTTTTTTTTTGAAAATCCTCAAAAAGGCAAACACTTCCTCCTTTGATGGTAGGTTCAGTATCCGGGAAAATTCTGAAGTCATCTGTAGCGAAGTCTGGTGAAAAATTGGTATTTGATTTAATAATACCATTTCTCATTAAAAGGAAATTCACACGTATATGGAGACGCATGGCTAGAAAGTAATAAAGCAGTTTTGTGTTGCCTGTAAACCGTCAGTGTAATCCCAAAAATATAATTTATTCCAGTAGTCCACTATTTCTTCAAAGTTTTTAAGAAGCATCAGAAGTGTTTGTTAAAGAAAATTTAGAAGCCCAAAATTAAATCAGATAAAAATGGAGCTTCCCTAGAGTTCCTCAGAATCTCCAAGACTTCATGGAACATGCATTTAGAAAAATGCATTGATTCATTCTCAAATATCTAGTATTCCAGGTATGCAGTTATCATCTGCCCAACAAAACTAACACAGCCTCCATGGCACGTGCTGAATTTCCCACATGCTAAATTTCCCGCACACTCACACCATTTCACCCCTCCCCCCAGATGGCTGCCTAGAATGTTCTTCTCTCCCCTTCCAGGTGTACCCCTCTTGTTCGCGTCTCTCCCACAGTGCCTCCCACATTTTGGGGGGTTTGTGGCCTGCAGAGTGTATAGGAGGCATCTGGGCATGTGGCCAGGGACATCTGTATGTCTCATCACCATACAGATGCACCTCAGAGTATTTTAATACTTACTTTTTCAAAGACTGTTATCCAAGACTAGATGGTTAAATGTAAAGATCTGACCTGTGGCTACCTCTGGGTGTAAAATTAAGGACACTGTCTTATTTTCTTCTGTATGTGTTTATTTTCTAAGTGTTCAATAATGAATATGCAGGACTTTAATAAGATTATAGGACAATGCTGTTTGAGATTGCTGTTTTAGGAATCAACATATTTCTCCAACTGGGCTACCTCCATAGATGATGGTAAACAGATACTGGGCCCTGGAATCTTGAAAGTCCACAATTTCCTTTGTCTCTGGATATCTCAACCGAATTTGTTGTGCTTTTGGTCTCTGCATTAGTCAGCCATTCTCTTTTCTTCTGACCCTGCTCATGTAGCCCAGGTGTGTCTCTGTTCCTGGGCCCTCCATGGCAGGGCTGCCGAAGCCGCCAAGCCTGAATAGCTCGCTAAGCCTCAGACGTCCCCTCTTCCCCTTCCCTGGCCATGTTGAGTTCTCTCCTGCACAGCCACCCTTCCACCTCCTCCACCGGCTCTGTGCCCCAGAACACTGACCTGTATGGACCAAAGCAATGGCCTCCCCAACCCCCTGTCGTTTCTGACTGGGTAAAGCTAACAGGGGGCGCCAGCAGATGAGAGAGAGGAAGGAGAATGAGGTTGACTTCTATGGGGCTGCTGAATTCCTCAACTGATGCTTTCAGCTCCGGGTCTGCAGTCCTTTCTACTCCCTCTCCTCTGGCTTTAGGCCAAGGTGTGCTAAGAGAGCCCCTGGAACACTGCGCAAATAGTCTCAGGCCACTCTCTGTCTGCTTCATAAAACTTCAGGTCTCATCACTTCTTCAACATTTTTTTTTTTTTAAGCAGTAGGGTCTTGCTATGTTGCCCAGGCTGCTCTCAAACTCCTGTGCTCAAGCAATCCTCCTGCCTTGGCCTCCCAAAGCACTGGGATTACAGATGTGAGCCACCCAACCCAGCCTTCAATAGGGCTTGCTCCTCCTCCACAGGGCTTGTTCCAGGACCTGTAACATGGTTCCTTTTTACCCATGTGAGCCCATTTCCTACTACTCCCAGCTTAGTAGCCTCGGGTCTGGCCTGGGAGCTGGACACACCAGCATTCTTCCCACTCCAGGCCTTTGCCCTTGCTGTACCATCCCTCCTGTGCCCCCTTGTTCCCTCCACTTGGCCAAATCCTACCCATTCATCCAGGTCCAGGCCCAGCTTGGTCCTGCTACCTTTCCTGCACCTTCCTTCACGAGTTGCTTCCTATTCCTCTCCACTAGCCCTTAACTATTTATGTTGTTTGCTTTGGATTCTGGTGCATTCCTCTTCCCTTCCAGAAAAGGCTGCATGATCAGAAGGCAAAGTCAAAGTCTAATGCCTCACCCTCCCAACACCTAACACCAACAACCCCGACTCACTTCCTCAAAGCTCTTTTTCTCTGAATCAGCAGGAATCACATTTTCCCGATGTTTGGGCAGATTGTTGGGAAATCTCTCCAGCATCTTGGTAGATGCAGACAGTGGGGTTTCATGGTGGCCTATGAGAGGAAACAAAACCTTGAGTGAGAACAGTTTCCCGAGCTGCGGTGGCACTCAACGCTAAACTTAGGCAACAGGTGCTACCCACTGAGGGGCCCACAGTGCAAACTCTCAGCAAGACTGCGAGTTAGAGAAAATGAGTGGCAGTTACCAGAAAATTCCATCAAAGCAGGACCTTTACTACTTGATGGCAGAATACAGTATTCCGTGTCTCCTAGTGAGGAGCAAAGAAGTGTCCTTGTCATGACAGGGATCAGGACATTTGGGATGCACCAGACACAAGGCTCATGGGGCTGCATGGGTCCAATCCACAGGTGAAGTATTATGAGGCTTCATTAAAAGTTCAAGGAGTTCTCCTTTCAATGCTTTCCCCGATAACGTCACTCTTCTATGGCTGCCGAATTCCCATCTTGGTATTTAAATTGCTCAGGTGGAGTTCTAGTCCTACTATTATGTAAATGTGAGCTTCCATCCGGGAAAGTGGTACATTACTTGCAAGAGAGCAGTAGGACACACCTGCTAGATGGATGGGGCCATAGCTCGCTCCACATTCATTCGTTGTTCACTACACAACTATTGCATGGCTACTGAGTGAGCATTCATTACGCATTTATTGAGCATCTATTGTGTGCAATTACTGTAAGAGATACAAAGCTGACTAGAATAAGGAACTGGGATTTGATAGGGCTTGATAATCCATTCATCTCTAAAAATGAGTCTACATACTGCCCCAAAGAGCCAGGTCACTTTTTCAGATTAGGCTGCCGGCAGCCTGGCTGACTTTCCTCTCTGTTCTCTTGCTGTGAGCAGATCTCACTCTGACTCACATCTCTTTCACCTTATGATCTTTCCATTGTTCCCCTAAACCTATCAAAGATTTCATGACATACATGCCAGGATGACAACAAACAGGAACTAGTCTAAGCAATGTACATTTCTTGATCTGGAAAATTCCTCTTTGATTCCCCATCTTTAGGTCAGTTCTCTATCTACAACATAATATCGTTCTTTAAGGGAAACCTACTTTTGTTTTGAGCCACCACTACTTTCTCTTGTGTACCAAGGAGCTCTGAGACATGCTTTGCTTGGGAGCAGGATTTCTCCATGTGTGGTCTGCCCACCTCAGACCTCTGAATCAGACTTGCTGGTAGGGCCCAGGAATCTGAATGTGAGTGTGTGCGGGTAACTCTGAGGCTCACTAACAAGAGACCTATGGTCTAAGAAAAGTGAGGTGTTCTTCCACATGCCACGCTGTGCAGCAGTGTTCTGCCCTTCCCACAATACCCACTCAGTGCTCAGAGTCCTACCTGTCTGGTAGGACACCTGCCAAGAGAATGCTATGGAAGGCATTAGCCTGAATCCCCCTAGTCCTCCTGTCAACCTTCTTGTAAACAGGCTTCTCCCGGAGCTGGACCTTCACTAATATCACACTGCACATGCTGGATCAACCACTGTACAACTTTACTCATGAGACCGCTAAACATTTTGTACAAATACTACCTGGTCTTCTTGACGTATTCATCTATCATTATCTCTTAGGTCCAGACTCTAGAGCAAAAAGCAGATGGCTAGGCCCTGCCCCAGACCTACTGAATCAGGCTCTCTCGGGCTTATATATGCCTAGTTAACTAAGCTCTGATGCCGAAAGCACCCAAGGTCAGGGCCATGGCTCTGGGGCAACCCACAGACCATGCCTCTCAGGCTAATTGGATCCTTGTATTTTCAAGATTAATGACAACCTGGAATATCTTTAACGTTTTCCACAAAGAGAAAATGAAAGGACACATTTGGACACAGAAGGGTCCTCGTCAACAGGAGACACTGCCATAGTCTCAGTGCCATATTTTAAGATGATGAGCTTTGAGCTCCTCCAAAGAGGCTTTTGAATTGTGGGATCCTTATACTTAATAGATTCCTTATACTTTGCTGTTTTCGCAGTTTTCTTACTTGGACAACCTTTCCATTTTAAAGGGATCTCATTTTACAAGTTAACCATGAAGACTCTCTGCCCCCATATTTTCTGTATTCTCATATATACACATTTCCTTATTCTCATATATACACATCTTCTTAATCACTGGTGGGCAGTCTGTGAGCCCCTTAACTGGCCCGTAATGCTGAGCAGCCTTGTAATTGCAATGGCCTCTGCTCATTAGCTATTTTTTTCTCACCATGGGCCTATTCATACATGCTCCTCCAATTACTTCTGTTAGTAAAAACATATTATTATTTTGTCATCTCCTTTACCTGTTATTTGGTAAAAATAAAATAAAAATGGCTACAAGGAATCAGGATAAAAAAAGAAATGGACCTTGACAATCTATAAAGAAAGGGATCAAGGCTCAAGGATATCTGGTTCCCCCCGTAACACCTGGTTACACACATCCCCACCTACACCTCACTGCCTGGCAGATTCTACTGTTTCCTGGTCCCCACATGCTCCCGGCTGCCCCACATCTCTTTTCCAGAGCCCCAGCCCTGACCTCTTTCTCCCCTAGTACCTGTCAGCAGCAAGCATGAGAGGAAGAGAACAGAGAGAAGAAACTGCATCGGCCTCTCGGTGCTCCAGCACCCGACTGACCTCCTGCCCTGCTCTGCCCCTACTGGCGCTAGAAGGTGGCAGAACAGTGGGGGGTGGGGCACAGGAAGGGCAGGTGCATTTCAAGAAAGCTCCCTCCTGCTCTAATGACTTGGCACACTCGCCAGGAACACAGCTCTTCTCATCTCTGCCTTCGTTTGTCACACTTGCTGTCTTTGGGTGTCATGTCAACTTCTTATCTCTCTTGGGACAGGGCCTCTAGTTCAACCCCTGGCCATTACTGATGGCAGCAAAAACAAGAGAGAGAGGAAAAAAGGGACCTTCCCACACACCTGGGACGATACTGCCCTAGAACCATGACCAGCCCGACTCTGCTGCTCTCAACCCATCCTGGGAATTCATCCCTCCTGGGTCTTCAGCCCTTGCCTCTCAAACCCCTCACCCTCATGCCCACACGGACCCCAAGTTAATTCTTCCATAGAAACAGTCTCAGTTTTCTTAACTATAAAATGGAAATGACAAGGGTACCTACCTCACACAGGGTGGCTGTGAGGAATGAGGAAATGCATTCTGAAGGGCTTAATGTCGGATAATCACACAAGGTTTACATGATTTAGTACCTGAGTTTTGGAACATTAAACAGTTTCCAAAAACTGACTCAGAAACACAGTTAACTTGTTGATTTTCCTTGGGGGTAAAAATGTCCCAAGGTCTCAGGGGCCAGCCGGGAAAGGCTCTGAGCACAAGGCCTTCCGAGCTAAGTACAGTGTAACTACCAGGGCCGGTGGTTGACCACCAGGAGGCAGCATGCTGTCACCTCTGGCTACTGTGGGAGACCCGCTCTTACCTATCAGAAGCCAGTAATTCCTCAAGTAGTTGAGCTTGTTCTTGCTTTTGAGTCCGGAGTCAAACTTGAGCTCTGTGCTGGGCGTGATCACACACTCCCCCTTGTCCCCAATGGTGACGCCATCAGTCTGGGGCCCTTCCAGCAAAGGAAGTGTGCTGCCGCGGGGCTGTGGAGAGGGTGCAGTGAGGGTCAGGAGCCCTGAAGGGAGAGCACGTCCCGTGGCACACCATCCCATCCACTGTCCTGAAAGGTGAGCGATTTCTAGCGCAGGGCCAGTCCAGGACAGAGCCCAAAGGACAAGGACACAAAGGCCCAACTCTGGGCAAAGAAGCTCCTCTCTCAGGACGTGACAAGCTGCACTGATGTCTTTATGGACGACTTTTCAGATTCTTATGTCTGGGTACTAGGGAACAAGAAGTGTGTGTGTAGAACTCCAAGACGCTGTTACAAGAAGCAGACATAAGTGAAGGAGAACGAATGGATATCTGTTAGTCACAACTGATGCAACCAACGGGGTGGAATAAAGTCCACCCACACACCCGGTGCTGGCTCAGGTGCTGCTGGAACTACAACAGAGGCAGGCACTGTCTGCTCACAGGAGCAGTCGCCCAACTCACTGGGAAGACAAGAGAGCCAACCACACAGTCCAAGCATTGTAGGGATCAAGACAAACAGCTAGGATTATGATGCCTTGGACTTTCAGAGACAGAATGTTCGAGGCAGGCTGGTGAGGCCCAAGGAGGCTTGGAGAGATTGCAAAAGCAGGCAAAGGGTTTGAGTATGGAAAAGGATGAAGAAAGGGCACTTGAAGCGTGAGGTGAGGAGCAGCCTGAACAAATGCCCTGGGGAAAGATGAACAGGAAGCTTGTAGAAGTCAGGGAGAAAGTGCACTTGCTTGGGTCATGTAACTCACACAGAGAAACTAACAGGTTGGTGGAACGGCATCGTGGGACTGGATTAAGGAGAGCCATGAACACCAGCCTGGGGAGTTTAGATTTGACCACAAAAGCAAAAGGAAATAATCAGGGATTCCTCAGCTTTAAGAAGCTGTTTCTGTCATGTATCTTTCTTTCCAAGTAGAATGTGGCATGTGCGGAAACTGTTTTTGAGAATTTAAGATTTGTATTTTGCATTCTTAACCCGCAGTATGCTTGTGCATAGCAAAGTCATTCTTTGCTAAAATGGAACAGAAGCAGTTAGGCAGCTGTGAGCCCTCCATAGTGGACTTACCACGACAGCAACTCCCTCGTGTACCATTGAGGGAGAGGCATAGAGGCTGGTAGAGTATTTCCCAACATACAGAGTGGGCCTAGGAGAAAAACAGATACATGCATTCCAGAGTCATTTAATTTCCAGATCCCACAGAAAGGAGGAATCATAACCCCAAATACCACCCACAGGGATGACCACATTAACCCCCCAGACGTGGAGGAAAGCAGTAGGGGTGTGAAGGTGGGGCACTGCCCTGGGAACAGGGCCACAGGACTTTAGTCCCAGCTGTCACTCACTGCAGAAACATGGACAAGCCACTTAATGGCAAGCCTCAGCAAAATTGCAGGGCTGGACTAGACGATGCCCATGATGCCTGCAGAAAGGACTACGTCCAATGGCCATCCAGGAGACTGAGTGCTTACCACCACTGCCGAGGCCCCTCAGACGACCCTGTACAACACACTTTCACTCCAGTGACCACCAAAACTACCCCCATTCTGCCCCCTGCTTTCTAAGGATCCTGGAGGTCCTACAGAACTCCTGAGAAATGGTGCTCTACTCTGGATGCTGAGAGCAAAAGGGATGCATAAGAAATTCCAGACTCGGTGAGACTTCTGGTTCCTCAGCTGTATAGTCTGTCCCCATGTGGGACATCAGGGAGATGGAAAATGAGGAGAGCTACACCCCCTGGCCCTTCTGCTTACTGTCAAGAGCCCATCTGATCGGTCATCCATTACATTATCTAAACCTCTCTCAACGAATATCTTACATTTGAATGGTGTTTTACAATCTAAATACTCTCTGGCACATTATCGTATTTGATCTTCCACACAACTCTATGAAGAAACTGAGGCTTGGTGAGTTTAAGTGACTCAGTGATAGGCTAATAACAGAGGGATGGAGAACAGAAGCCTGCTGAGTCTTGGACACACACTGTTAACTATTTTTTTCTGATTTTTAAAATGAATATAACCTAAAAATTTAGAAAATATAGAAAGTTAAAAAAATAAATCTCTTGCATCCCTACCACGTAAGATAGATGCAAACTATACTTCCACTGGCAGTCTCTTTCCTATCCCCACCTGTATTTGTGTGTGTGTGGCGGCAGGGGGAGGGTCTTGCCACGTTGCCCAGGTAGGCCTCAAACTCCTGTGCTCAAACAATCCTCCCACCTCAGCCTCCCAAGTAGCTGGAATTACAGGTGTATGCCATGGTGCCCGGCACCTCCCACTCATGATTTTTATGTAATATTTAAGAATTCTGAAGCTTTAATGGGTGCCCCTCAGTTCTTCTATTCTGAGGTTTCCGAACGAAGCAGACGTGGCTCTGGATATTCCTCATGGCTTCAGAGACCGTCCTGTCTTTGGCCTCCCATGCAGGGCCTGCTACATTGCAACAGCACCAGAACACAAAGGCCATGGCCGCCCTCTCCTTCCCCGAGCTCCCAACTCACGTCAGCTTGCTCTTGGCCTCTGTCTCCTTGGGGAACGGGTACTTCCACTTGGTGATGCGCCCCACCTCCCCAGACATGAAGGTCAGATAGCGCAGGGTCTCCACGGCGACATTGATGTGCATCACCTTCCTCAGACCCTCCCGCTGCCAGACATAAAAGGCCACCACAGGGGAGGCGTAGTTTTGGATCCACAGGACATCCCCAGATTCACTGTCCACGGTCACCACCAGCCCATCACCATTGGACACAAAGTGGGACATCTCTGTACAGATCAAATAAACAAAGCATGCTGAGTCTCACCCCATCTTGAAACCACATCCTCTACTCTTGTGGCAGGCTGTAGTCACTCAGAGGAAACAAGACTTCTGGAATATTCTCAGATCTCCTCTGAGCAATTTCACTTGTTTCCAATGAACTCACTTAGTCTCTATAATATCAAGACACTGGGAGCTGGCTGGCTTACAAACACAGGATAGGATCACTCTCCCAAAGGCAATTTATTTGGTGATGTGCTTTACCATTCTATTCAATAAGTGAGAGTAAATATTGAGAAGAAAGGAGCCAATGGAGATGCCTATTAATCTGGCATTTCATAGCAGTCACTTGAAACCCATCGATCAAACTGAAAGTCAGGGACAGCTGTGGTGGCTCATGTCTGTAAGCCCAAGACTTTGGGAGGCTGAGGTGGGAAGATCACTTGAGCCCAGGAGTTCAAGACAAGCCTGGGCAACATAGTTAGACCCTCATCTCTACAAAAAAAAAAAAAAATTAGCCAGGGGAGGTAGGGGAGTGGTGGTGCGTGCCTGTGGTCCCAGCTACTTAGGAGGCTGAGGTGGGAAGATCGCTTGAGCCTAGGAGTTTGAGGCTACAGTGAGCCATGACTGCACCCCTGCACACATCCTGGGCAACAGAGGGAGACCTTGCCTCAAAAACCCCCCGCCAAAAACAAAAAAACACCCTGAAAGTCAGACCTGAACCACTGACACTGTCCCATGAGATTCACAAAGGAGTCCTCAGAGAAAAACGAAAATATTCTAGGTCCTTGACCAGAAAAGGCAGAGTCCAACTTTGACACCAATGTTAAGGTGACAGAATTGGTTTTCAGTTTTCATTTGAGCGAGGTGAATGTTAACTGCAGAAATAACTAGGGATGAGTCACATTTGCAGAGAGGCCTTCTTGACAGGGTTGCTAATGTCCTATGCTGATTTTACTTCTACTTTCCATGGGCTTGCAGTAAATTCCTTCTGTGACATAGAAAGACTCAACAAGGGGTGTCCTCCTTCCTCTCTGGCTAAGCTTGTCACCATTTTACTTCGGTTTCCCTTCAGACTTCACCAAGGTCCCTGCACATTGACTGTGGGAAGTATTTACGATAAGCCCATGAAAAGTCCATGGAAAGAAAGAATCTGGTGACAAACAGTATCTTAAAAGAAAATCCTACTTTCTGGAGCAACTGTTTCCACATAGGTCAAAAGTACTGGCTCAGGCTTGTGAAATCCAGCAGAGAGCACTTACTGTAGTCCATGTCGTCCTCAGGCAGCGAGGCTGCGTAGTCAAAGTAGGTGGCATTCCACCGGAGCTCTCGCGTTTTGGTGTCGTACATGGTGATGGTGTATTCTAAAGAACACAGACCAGCCAGCCCATTACCACAGAGGGGCCACAGTACATACTGAGGTATGGTCCTTATCTAATTACAAACAATTCCTCCCTAAACTGTAGGCCAAAAAGTCCAGACTATCCATTTTGATACAGAAAGGCAATGTGAGGAGAACTGAAGTCCCGGACACATGAGTGAGCCTGGCTGACAGCATGTGGAAGCAGAGACGAGCCACCCCTGCTATGCCCTTGGACTCATGGCTCACAGAATCGTGAGCAATAGAATGGTTGTTATTGTTAGCCATTAAGGTTTGGGGTGCCTTATTACATAGCAATGGATTGCTGATAGTTAAAAACTGGCACCTTGAAGCAGGATGGCGCCATAACAAACACCTAAAGCATGTGGCATTGACTTTGGGACCAGCTGGTAGGTGGAGGCTGGGAGGCTGACAAAAAGGTTGGTGGAGACTTGCTAGTGCAGAGGGGGCACTGCTATTCAAAGTGGAAAAGGGGTGACCCAGCTTGTGGAGGGTGCCATGATGAGTATGACTATTACTTGCAGTAACTTGGAAGACAGAAAAAATATCTAATCAACTCAGGGATCCAACTAAGGAGATTTCCAGACAGAAAGCAGAGAATGTTGGTTTCTCTTAGCTGTCTATGATATACTGTGAGACAAATGAGCTGAGGAAGAAATTATTCATCAGAATACAGAGGAAATATAAAGGGTCCAGGACTGAATACTGCTGGAAAAGATTCTCATTATAAAAAATAACTTTAGGGAAAAGATCAAATCCAGGGTACTGCCAGCAACAAAAAATGGGTTCAGGGTAAAGATCAATAAAATCAAAGGTTAAGCTGTAAGATCCTTCTTTGAGACCTCCAAAAGAGTTTAAGGCGGCTCCTCATACACCCTCTGCATCAAAGGAGTTCTAAACTCACATTCCAAAGTCTAGAGACTTGTGGGTATGGTTTTTATCTAATGGAATAGACTATAATTTGACACATGGGAAGCTCACATAGTTTTTAAAGGAGTGGTATTAGCATAAACTAAAAGGATCAGAGACAGTCAAATTGAAAAAAAGGGTTTCTAGATCCCTAAATTTCAATGGACAAGGAACAGACTGAGAAAGATACAAAACTGGCCATTTGTTACGGAAAAGAAAGGACTTCTCAGAGGGCAGAACCAAGAGCCACTGAGAGCACTATATTAGGGAACTAATCCCAGAGGGCAAAACTGGGCCCTAATGAAGGAATATTCCCTACCCCTGGAGGAGGGGAACCTGAAAACATGTGCCTGGCTAGATTTCAGAATTACTAAGGTCCAATGTGTGTTTCTCTTTCCTGCCCTTTTTTGAGTGAACATGTTTATTGCAGCTATCCTGTCTCCATCTCACCACTGTATGTTGGGTGGGGGATGGGAAGGGGAGAAAGACCCTGTCTCTTTAATTCACAGGTCTCCAATCAAGAGGAGCTACACCTGAAGAACATCATCCTCCTCCAGACCTGATGCAGATCACAGGACATGAGATTTTGGGACTGATGCTGGGATTGGATTTTGGGGGTCTTTGGAGGGAGTGGGAGGGTTGTAAACTACTACAGCCTGAGGGAGGACTGCGGTAGAACATCTCTAAAGGTCACTACCACCAATTCTTCCCATTTCTGTAATATGCATGTTACTCTTCCCATCAAGAGGCCGAGTCTGTATCTCTACCCTTGATTCTCAGTTGGCCTTGAGACTTGCTTTAACGAACAGACTGCAGTGGAAGGAAGGTTCTAGAACTTTTGAGCCCAGACCTTAGGAGGCACTGTAATACCCATTTTTACTCAAGAGGGAGCCCGGCTGCCATGTCAAGAGTCCAGGCTATCTATATGGAGAAAGGTCACATGGAAGTGAACCGAAATCTCAGATACATGAGTGAGGCCAACCAAGCATGTGGAGTAAAGATGATGGGTCCTTGCTGAGTCCTTCCTGAATTCCCTACAGAATCATTAACAATAAAATGCTTGTTTTAAGGCATTAAGTTGGGGTGGTTTGCCATGCAGCAATAGACAATGGAGGCAATGGATTTACACACCTATGCACACACATTCCACCTCATGCATATCCCAGCTCCTTTGAACACCACAGTTTCACCTGAGAATGACACAAGTTTTATATCTGGATGAAGCTGGGGCCACTGTAAGAATTTACTTGATGGAAAAGGTAAAAACATAAATCCTAAGCAGTCACTACAGTTAGAAGCTGGAATACCTGATTTTTACAGTCTAAGACCTTCCACCCATTCCCAGGAGAGCCCAGCCAGCTTCTGCAGGGTCCAAGATTAGTCTCACTGAGTTTTAGAAATGCAGTGCTTTCCCCAACACTTTCAGGAAGGTTCTCTTTTTTTCAAATCCTTGGCTGTCTGAAAGTTTAGACCTAAATGTAGTGCTCAATTGTAATGAATTCATCCTAGGTTTTTGGTATAATTTTTTCCTTCTAAATGTTTTTTGTTTCTTCTTTTAGCTTTAAGTATCGTTCAACAAGTTTCATGGCATCCCCGACATGTGTGAGGTGCTGCACATATGATAATGAGTAAGGCAGGTCTCTGCAGTAATGGGGCTCTCCCATTCATACACTCAAACATTGAGCCCCTGTTACACATCAGGCAATATGCCTGGTGTAGAGAGACAGCAGGTGAGCAAAACAAAGTCGTACCCTCAGGGAACTGATATTCTAGTGAGGGAGGCAGGAAGTAGGCACATAGAATTTATAAATATGCAGTGCCAAGAGTTAAGAAGAAAGAGGCTGAAAAAGGAGGAAACAAAATGGTGCGGTAAAGAGGGTGCAAGCCATGCCTGTAAAGGGACAATGACAAGGGGTGAGATGGCTGTCACAACAGGCTTGTTAACTGCTACGTGTGCCCCTAGAACGGGACAGCCAGGTGTTCCTGAGCAGGGTGGAGGCCGAGAGGCTGGAGAAGAGGCTTCACAGAGAAGGTGACTTTTGAGCAGAGTTGTGCAAGAAAAGAGGATATTTGCCAGATAGGCAAAAACAGGCATACCTGGTGGAGAGGGCCACACCACTACAAGCCTTTAAAAATGGCACTGCCATTCTGGGAGCTGCAGGCAGTTCATCCTAATTGGGAAACTTTTTTGGGGGGAGGTGGGGGGACGGAGTCTTACTCTTGTTGCCCAGACTGGAGTGCAGTGGCTTGATCTTGGCTCACTGCAACCTCTGCCTCCCAGGTTCAGGTGATTCTCCTGCCTCAGCCTCCTGAGTAGCTGGGATTACAGGCACCCGCCACCACACCCGGCTAATTTTGTATTTTTTTTAGTAGAGACAGCATTTTGCCATGTTGGCCAGGCTGGTCTCGAACTCCTGACCTCAGCTGATCCACCTGCCTCAGCCTCCCAAAATACTGGGATCACAGGCGTGAGCCACCGCGCCCGGCTAGGAAACTTTGAAATGAGCGAAATGAGGCGAGAGAGGTGGCAGTCGCATCACAGGGGTTTTTCTGGGCAGTGGTGCAGTTTGGACTGTATCCCTTGAGCAGTGGGGGACACTGAAGGGTCTTATAAAGGAAAATGACATGATCAGACCTGTGTTTGGAAAAAGGAAGCTCTGGCCACCTTCTAGGAAAAGAGGCTGGGGAGCTTCTTCCGATCCCTTCTGGAAACAGGCAGGTTGTAGACGACAAAGGTTCATTTCTTACCTGTTCGCCCAAGATACAGAAGAGAGGTTGATGGGCAGAGACTATCTGCAAAGGCTGATGACAAGGTCTGCTGCTTCTCCCCAGTCAGGAGGTCAATAACATACCAGATGTCCTGCTTTTTACCTGAAAGGACACAAAAACACATCATCGTTTACACCATATGGAAAAAAGTATCACTGCCAAACTAGCAGCCAAGATGCTCTGTATTGAGAGAGATAGACCTGAAATTCTTAGGATGTCATTTCTAAGGTGATGATGTAAATGGTAATGCAGAGACAATAAAACTTCTTAGGCCCATAGGTCTTATAATAATTTAATAACCTAATCATGGTATACAAATTCCTCCAAACCTAATAACATAATTATAGTTTCAAAAAGTTCCCCAAACTTTCAAGTTAGATTTTATTGCTTTGATGAGTGGCTTTAAATATGAAAAGTCTTGCCTGTGAAGGGTAACCCTTTTCCCATGGACTGGGATCTATAGAAATACAGAAATGTGCCCAGGGGTTTATCTCCCTAATAACCATCATTCACATTTCTCAACATCCCTACTAACTAGCCCCCACTGAGAAGGATCTACAGTTACTGTTTATAACTATAATTAACTAGTACCTGGGACTGGTCAGTGGAGTTGGTTGCAATCTGATGCTAAGGAGGTCAAAGTTGTCTCGGCCCCAGGTCCCAGCCAGTAAGTTATTCCCTGGCCTCAGACCATACCCCTAATCTTGGTCAGCTGATTATGACAGGCAGACAGCATGGTAAACAACACTATTAAGAAAATCCAAAGCATATGTATCAATGGTATACACCCAACAGCATCCTAGCAATGGAGAGTCAGTAGCACCGGCCTCCAGTGTGAAGGTCAACACAGTCACTGTGATGTGTATATTTCTGTTTTGTAAAGCATGATCTCTGGTGGTCATTCATATCTTCCTAACTTATTGGAAAAGTCTCCTATTTTGGAGACTCTTAGAAGCAGAATATTGAGATGCTGAGGAAGGTCACAGAGCCTTTGAAATTTTTTTTTTTTTTTTTGAGACCAGGATCTTGCTCTGTCACCCAAGTACAGAGTACAGAGGTGTGGTCATGGCTCACTGCAGCCTCGAACTCCTGGACTCAAGTGATCCTTTTGCCTCAGCCTCCTCATAGTTGAGACTACAGGCATGTGCCACTATGCCTGGCTCTTTTTTTTTTTTTTTTTTCTGAGATGGAGTCTCACTCTGTCGCCCAGGCTGGAGTGCAGTGGCGCGATCTCAGCTCACTGCAACCTCTGTCTCCCAGGTTCAAATGATTCTCCTGCCTCAACCTCTCAAGTAGCTGGGACTACAGGCACGTGCTACCACACCCAGCTAATTTTCTGTATTTTTAGTAGAGACAGGGTTTCAACGTGTTAGCCAGGATGGTTTCGATCTCCTGACTTCATGATTCGCCTGACTCAGGCTGGGATTACAGGTGTGAGCCACCACGCCCGGCCACCTGGCTAATTTTTATTTATTTATTTATTTTTTGAGATGGAGTCTTGCTCTGTCACCCAGGTTGGAGTGCAGTGGCACGATCTTGGCTCACTGTAACTCTGCCTCCAGGGTTCAAGCGATTCTTCTGCCTCAGTCTCCCAAGTAGCTGGGACTACATGCGCCCGCCACCACATGAAGCTTAGTTTTTGTATTTTTAGTAGAGACTGGGTCTCACCATGTTGGCCAGGATGGTCTTGATCTCCTGACCTTGTGATCTGCCCACTTCAGCCTCCCAAAGTGCTGGGATGACAGGTGTGAGCCACCAGGCTCCTGGGCTATACCTGGCTAATTTTTAAAAAATGGTTTCTTCTGTAAAGACAGGGTCTCACTATGTTGACCAGGCTGGTTTCAAACTCCTGGCCTCAAGCAAACCTCCTGCCTCAGCCTCTCAAAGTACTGGGATTACAGTTGTAAGCCACTGTGCCTGGCCTAGAATTTGCTAAAGCTATACTTCTAAAGTTCTAACAGATGTTGCATACATGCCTGCTCTACATGTGTGCAACTTACCCGTGGATCACAACTCTGTTCTCAATGATAAAATCATAATATGAATGTGATCTAAAGGTAGAGGGGAACAGAGCTAAGACCACGAACCTTTTCCATCTGGCATGACATAACTGGTTACTTCAAGGACCACTAGAGTTTACATAACTCAGCTATTACTTTAATGGATAGACTGGGCAACTACCATGCTCTTAAATATGTTTAATGAACTCGCTTAAGAGGGCACAGCACAAAGATGATGAGAAGACAATACCCTAAGCAGACTATAAGTGAATCGCTGGCAAAAGCTGAAAGACCAGATAGGACACAGTGACATGGATGGTCAGAAGATTGTCAGATGTTCCCAGGCCATGGCCCACAGAGAGAAAAATCCGTGCTGATTGTTTCCTCCAAATTCCTAGGCTGGGAGTTCCTCATTCTGAAGGTGTGGAAGGAAGCAAGCGTCCCAGTGTCCTGAGCAAAACCTTAAAAGTCTGGCCTGCACTTGAGACCCAGAAATACACATAAAGCTTCTGGAGGCATGAATAGGCAATAAGCACTTTCAGTTCCTCAAAAAGAAAGCTGCTGTATAAATACGGGCTATTATTACTACTATGATTTCAAGATAAATACAGCTCTCCTTTGTGTTGCAAATGCTTTTTTATTGACATTTTGGCAGCAACACGGTAAAAGAAAAGCAGGTGATCTGATGCTTTGAAAGCTGTGACCCCATAGGTATGAAGGCAGTTTATCTAGGCAAGCTATTAAGTGCTGTTTTATCAAATATTCCGATAGCAGGAAATACTAAGAAAGCCCTATAATTAACAGGCAGAGCCTGGCTTTCCTTTCTTGGCTTAGATGATTGTATTCACTTTAAATTTCATCCATTTGCCACTGGGTATGTTGCAATCTTGGAATCTCAGGACTAAGTCAACACAGCAACTAAAAGCTTGTTAAATGAGTAACCATATTAATGATGTCAATTCTTCTCCCAAGTTGGGGGAACCTTTTCTTAATTGGTCAGCTGATCCTGGGGAGAACAGCACCTGAAGCACAACCCAGGAAAGAAAGGGTTGGCAAGGCGGTGCCTGCGCCCTCTCTCTCCACATGCCACTTTCCCAGATTCCGGGACTTACATCAAAGAGACACAAGTTTCAGGGTTGGAGACAGGAACTCTTACCCATGTAGAGGATTCCATCTGAACTTCGGCACGGGGATGCCTGCACCAATTCTGGGATGGTAAAAGGAAGTTTCTTCAAAAAAAAAAAAAAAAAAGGGAAAAAAGTTAACCAAGTCTTGTGCAATTATTATAATTTTACCAGGCAGTCTGTTTCTATTACCTAATTCTGCTAAAAAGAGAGAAGCACTTTGCAGATGGGAGTTTTCCTAACTGAATACCAAGGAGAAGGGGGCACCCTATGCTTCCACATCTACTTTGTTTTCATTTTTATTTTTTTGAGACAGGGTCTCACTCTGTTGACCAGGCTGGAGTGCAGTGGCGCCATCTTGGCTCACAGCAACCTCTGCCTCCTGAGTTCAAGTGATTCTCCCACCTCAGCCTCCCAAGTAGCTGGGATTACAGGCATGTTGCCACTACACCCAGCTAATTTTCCACGTCTATTTTGACAAGCTCCTAGGTCCCTGAGCTCCATAAACATCCACTCCTTTACTTGACACCATGTGCCGATGCCCCTCAAGGTCTCCTGTCCAGGGTGCTTCCCAGGGGTGACACAAACCTTTTCTGAAAATATTTACACAAATATGGAAAGTTATATATTCTTTGAAATTCTAAGAGTGGGAGAAAGAATTGTCCTGGCTTGGAATACAGAGCTACAGCTGGCTAGACTGAGTAGAATGACAGTCCTTTGTAGAGCCCCATGGGAGGGAGCCACGACATTGATGCTGAAGGGATGCAACCTTGGTGCCAAGCTCAAGCTTCGAGGGAAAGGAGAAGTCGCCATTACAGGGGCAACACAAGAGTCTGAGGTGGAAAAGAGTTCTGATGTTTTCTTCAGTAAAAAATTCACTATTGAAAAACAAGAAAAATGGAGGCTTTTGGTTTTAAAGAGGAAGTTAAGATAGGTGCCAGGAAAAGAAACTCAAAGGAATCCAAATGTTTCAACTGCATTTCATCATAAAACTGATTCTTCTGAGTCTACAGCTGTCATCTGACGAGCTCTTTTGGTTAGTGCTCGTTTCAGTATACTTTATTTTTAGAACATTCTGTGTTCCTGAAATTGTTCTATAGATACCTGCTTTTATAGAAATGCCTCTACTGCATGGTCACCTTTTTCTCCAAGAAAGAAAAGATTTCTCTCTAGCTTTAATAAGCAGAGCTTTGCATACTAAATAACTTGGATTTTCCCATCATCCCAACATTCAAACCAAGCCTCAGAGGAGGAAAAATGCTTCAGAGAGGCTGCAATGACTGGGTTTTGCCACATGTTTCTGAGAATCAGAAAGGCACTGCAGATTGTCCAGTCTCCTGGAGTCCTGTGGTCTCTGCTTCAAGGCCCAAGCTTGGGAAACACTGTTTGTGGAGCTGCTAAACCACAACCCAGGAAGGAGCACAAGGGAGCGATGAAGGGCATCCTCTTTAAGAACCAACTCCAACACAAGAAGACTCGGCCCTGGACATATTCCTTCACTTCTCCAGGCTCAGTTTCCACACCTCTAAAATGGGGATATCACCCACAGGGCTGCTGAGAGATTCAAATGAGATAACTTATACAACTCACTCAGCCCAGTTTCTGGCAAACAAATTGCTTAAGAAATGAGGACTACAGAGCTGTGGAGAGAAACCGACGGAGAGCAGTGTTGAAGGTGAAATACACACAGCTCTGCACAAGCTTGCCCTCCTCCCCTCTGTTTTGGTTACAGGCATTCACAAAATAATTTTAAAATAACCAAGTTAAAGCCCACAATCCACTTACAGCCTAGACAAGTGGTTCTCATCCTCGGTTGCACATGAGAATTACTTGGAAGCTTTCAAAACTTCCTACTGATGCATAATATGCAAACAGAAAAGCGCTCATCATCACACAGCTCAGTCAATGTTCACAAAGTGAACATACCCACGGAACCAGTATCCAGGTGAAGAAACAGAAGCCCCCCACTCTCTCTTGCCCCCCTTTCTAGCCATAACTCTCCAGGGTAACTATTATCCTAACTTCAAAACAGCAGAGACTCGTTTTGCCTGTTTTTGGCTTTATATAAGTGAACGGCAGTGTGTGGCCTTTTTGGTCTGTCTTGTTTTGTTCAACATGGCGCTTGCGAGTCATCTGTGGTGTGTGTCGTCAGACTGTTGTTGGTCCTCATCACTGGGCATGCCTCTTCTAGAGTTGATTTTTCCACTCCACTGTGGATGTTATTTGGCCACTCTGCTTATTATAAATGGTGCTGCTGTACATTTGGGCACGTGTCCATTGGTGAACAAACGTGCATTTCTCTTTTGTTTTTTGAAACGGAGTCTCGCTCTGTTGCCCAGGCTGGAGGGCAGTGGCACGATCTCAACTCACTGCAAGCTCCACCTCCTGGGTTCACGCCATTCTCCTGCCTCAGCCTTCCGAGTAGCTGGGACTACAGGCATCTGCCACCTCGCCCGGCTAATTTTTTGTATTTTTAGTAGAGACGGGGTTTCACCGTGGTCTCAATCCCTGGCCACGTGATCCGCCCGCCTTGGCCTCCCAAAGTGCTGGGATTACAGGTGTCAGCCACCTCGCCCAACCACAAACGTGCATTTCTATTGGGTCTGTAACCTAGGAAGGCATTTCTGGGTCCTAAGGACTTTAGGACTTACTGCCAAACAGTTTGCCAAACCACTTGTGCCACACTGCACTTCCACCAGCAGTAGGTGAGAATCCTGGTTGCTCCATATCACCACCACATTTTCTTTTTCTACTTCCCTTGTTTTGGCCATTCTGGTGAGTATCAGTATGGCACTGCGACTTTAATTTGCATTTACTAATGACTAATAAAATGGAACATCTTTTCATATGTTTATGACCATTTGGATATTCTCTTCTGTCATTCTTCCACTGGGCTGTCTTTTTTAATGTACCATAGGATTTCTTCATGTATTCTGAATATGAACTTTTGTTGGATGTGTATACTACAAATACTTTGTGACCTCTTAAGAAGGAAAAGTTCTTAATTTTAATACAGTCAATATATTGATTTTTTGCTAAATTTATAGTGTTCTTTAATATCCTATTTAAGAAATCTCTACTCACTCTGAGATCATGAAGATGGTTCCATTACTTTTTTTCTTAAAGCTTTATTATTTTGCATTTCACATTTAGATGTGTGATCTATCTGGAACTGATTTTATATGCGTTGTGGGGGGTAGGAGTCAAGACTTTCATTCCTATATGGATATCCCAATTGACCTACACCATTTATTGCAAAAACACTGTAAGCTGGGTAGTGGTAGCTCACGCCTGTAATCCCAGCACTTTGGGAGGCCGAGGCAGGCGGATCATGAGGTCAGGAGGTCGAGACCATCCTGGCTAACACAGTGAAACCCTGTCTCTACTAAAAATACAAAAATTAGCCGGGCGAGGTGGCGGGTGCCTGTAGTCCCAGCTACTCGGGAGGCTGAGGCAGGAGAATGGTGTGAACCCGGGAGGCGGAGCTTCCAGTGAGCTGAGATCGTGCCACTGCACTCCACCCTGGGCGACAGAGTGAGACTCGTCTCAAAAAAAAAAAAAAAAAGTCCTGATGACTTAGATCAATTAAATCGGGACCTTCTAGGATTGGGCTCTATGTTCTAGGTCCCAATGCTGTTTTTTCGAATTCCAGGTTATTACAATGTATAACTAAGGCTGAAAACCACTGGTTTAGATTCTCAAATGGAGATGAGGATGGAATAACACATGACTCCCCTAAGGAGTCATTGGAAGGTGGGGCAGGTGGAGACAGCATTTCCCTATATCCCTCCCTCCTAAGGTGAGGGTCACCAGTTAGAGCAAACCCTGTTCCTAACACTATATCCTCCAGTGTATGGGCTGGGCCATGAAAACCTGCTGGTCTGCATCCGTGTTTCTGAACTCTGGCACCACATTTAAAAGCTCATTTAGGAAGCTCTCTGAAAAGACTGATGCCCAAGCTCCCCTCTAGATCACTTGAATCAGAATCCCCAGGGGTTGTTTTTAAAAGCTCCGGGCGGGAGACACAGTAAGACACTGTGCAGACACACTTAAGGACTGCTGGTCTAGAACCCCTGGAGTACAAAAAGAAGCTAAATATACTCACCGTCAGGCCTTCATTATTCTTGCTTCCAAGCGTATACAGGCTGCCATCATTAGGATCTGGGAGAAAGGCAGGCCTAGAGATTAAATAATAAATATCAAAGATAAATTACAGTCCAGGGCACAGAACAACATATCAAAGCCACGCGAACCCATGATGGAGGAATAGAGAGTGGGGGGTAGTTGTGTGTGGGTGTATAAGTGAGTATATAAGACAATTCCATCCACTATTCTCTCTCAATTCAACCACAGATAAATAAAATACCCCTATGGTGGTAAACACTATCCTCGACTGGAGAAAAGCGGCCTGAAAGGAGAAATCATACAAAACCACAGAAGACAAATCATCATTTGGTCAAAGCGCTCTGGATGAAGGTAAAATATGTGAAAAGGACCCAGCAAGTCCACTTTTCAATTTCTACATCAATTGTATATAGAACTTCAGCCATTAATATTTAATAGCATAGCATGGTACATAAACAGGTAGAACAAATCTGCTTTTAGTTTTCAAGAGATATTTTTTGTTTAACTGGAGGCAATAAAAGCAGACTCTAATGGCTTGACATCAGAGAGAACCCGCCAAGGGGACGGATCAAGGTCTCTCCGTCAGTAGCTTCCCTCGAAGCAGATGTGAAGTGGTCTTTTGTCAAGTTAATCTGCTAAAGACTGAACTATAACTACAGTCCCTCAGAAACTCTTGGCTGAATTGTTCCTTTACTTAGGTTGCGCCATCATTTAAGGCTCTTACAGGCGCTATCCATCTTTTACTCCAACACACGCTCTGCAGTAGCAGGTCACATTCACCTTTTTTCTCCATGATATGACACAGCAAAGAGGAAGAGGTCCAGTCCCCCTGAGGACTTTGGAAGTTTAAGCTCAAAGCTCAACTTGAGTTTCATCTCAAATAAGCCTTTTTAAAACCACTACCCTTCTCCCCCAGGAAACTGACGACCTCCTCCTCAATACAGGCTTTCATCATAGCACCTGTAAGACTTTATATGTCACTCACTGTTATTCCTCAAACTTACACATATATGCACTCCCAGCAATTGGCCTCATAAACACTGATTGAATGAAGACTGAATTTAAGGGAAGTACTGAGCAAATCAGAAAACTTACTCTTCCACATGCGTTGGGACCTGCAGGACTGGATCTGTGCAAAAGAACAACAAAGGCATCATCAGAAACATCCCAAAATGTCAAGATTCCCAGAGGCTTCCCAGGACCAGGTCAAGTTGTACCGGTAATAACTTTCTCCCCCATGTTAACCTACATGGTCTAGTGTACGTGAAGGTTATATGCATGTTTGCATCATCATGCATATCTTTTAGAAAACATATCCACAGTGATGCAAATGTAAGCTCTGGATAGTCACCGAGGCTGGATAGAGAACTGAGACCAGAACATAACTGCTTTCAAGAAACCTGCATATAACTTGGGGGATGGATGCAGAAGGAAGAACCAGCCACCACCCACAGTGGACAAGGGGTCAGAGCATCACTATCTGACACCTCAAGGACTTCTAAAACCTAAATCATTACCTTGTCCGATGCCTGGAGTAGCTCTATATATTCCCATTAGGAAAAGTAAAACTGGTTTAAGAACTGACATCGATTGGATAGCAAATGGATACACCTCTTTGGAGCGGCAATCCTACAGCCTCCAAGTGTTCATTCCCTTTGGCCCACCCATTGCATTTCTATAAAATCTAATTTAAAGATAATATAAAGTATAGAAAATGGTTTTTTGTTCAAAGATGTGTATGTAGCAGCATTACAAATGACCTACCCAATAATATGGTTAAATTACAGAATGTCCCCTGGGCAAAAAATTAAGGCTTCTAAGAGGGCTAATAAAGTTTTAAGACATAAACAAACCTACGCTAGTATGTTCAGGAGAAGAGATAACATTGTACATACAGTATTAATGCAACTATGGGGAAAGGCTTCAATGTACCTAACTAGATGGAAAGATCAAAAATGCTAATTGTAAATTATCCTTGTTGGGAATGCAACTCCCCCCAACCTTTTCTATATCTTAAAATTTCTGCAAGAGCAGGCATTACTTTTTAAATTGAGAATGTGTTTTTTTCTCTAAGTCAATTTTACATTTGCAGCAATTAATGGCAGAATTCTTCCCTCCCTAGATTTTCCTTGGCACAAAGCATGAGGAAGCTCCTGATTCCAGGGGCAGATGGTGGTGGCAGTGAGAGAGCATGAACACTGGCACAGCAGCACTGTGTAGTGAGAGATCTATACGTCTGCAGGCAGGAGATTCACAGCGATGAGGTATTTCCAGCAACCAAAACCCCACAGCCTTGCTATACACAACTTAAGCTCTGGGGGCAAGAACAGCAAGTATTCTTATATGATTTTGTATGCAGAATTCCAGACTCTGGAGGCTCTGCTTATGGTGACAGACAGCTGTCCAATCCATCCAATTATTGGATGAAGGAAAATCTTTTAAGCCTTATCACATGTTGACTTTGCTTAAAAGCCCAGCTCCTATACAAAGGCATATGGTGTTCACAATAACAGGTACACACACCATATGTGGTCTGTGGGCAGCAAACAAACAATTCACTAAACCAAAAACACTTTAGGAAACAGGAAGAACTTTCAGTCAGTAAGCATATGTTTATCTTCCCCATTAATCACCTCTCGGTACACTCTCACAAACAGACTGATGCAAGAGACAGGAAATAAAGGCACACCACACTCATCCTACTCAAACGAGCTAGTCAAGGTGCAATAACCCAGTTACCTTAACACGGGCCTGAAGCCACGCAAGTCAAGAAGAGCAAGAATATCATATTCCGAAGAAAACATGGCAGTAAATGGCATCTTTTTTGTTTGTTTCAGCCACTTAAAGGTATCACAGATAAACGCAGATTAAGAGGACGCAGCCAAATTCCAGCAATTCACCAGAAACAAGACATGGAGACCACTATAATTTAAATTCCTGTTCATAACCTGATCTTTGCTGTACAGTGTTTGCTCAGTCTCACAGACTTGTCTTCAGATGCAGATTTTCCAGGTTTTCTATAGCTTAGCCACTGGTCACCTGACACTGAGGCCTCAGGTCCCAAGATGTGCTCTGTACCAGGAAGGTTCCAGTTAAGATTCAGGACGTTGGCAGGAGACAGGGGAAGATTCCTGGGACAACTACATTGGTGTTTAAGAACTGTGATCTTTTTTTTCTAGGCTTAGGAGAAGATAAACTCCAGTAGGAGGACCTCATGGTTGTCTTAGCATTTCCCATCCACTCAGTAAAATAAGTACCTGGAATAAGCCTCTTCAAAGCTGCAGGCCAGGTAAAGACGCAATTATTACGACAGTTCTGACAGAGACAGACACACTGCTGCTTGGCTTCTGAAATGTAACAATGACCTAATTCTGTAAATGTTTTTCTTTAAGAATCATCTGAATTCAAGATTTGCTTTAAAATACTACAGAAAATAATTACATGGGGGTGGGGAGGACAGATAAAACAAAAAGTGGCAGGCTGTTGATAACAGTTAAAGATGATAAATGGGAACCCTGGAGTGTTATTTTACTACTCTCTGTACATATGCTTAAAGTTTTTCATATTAAAAAAGGTTAAAGAGAAAAATCTTTGGAAAGTCAGCAAAAATAAAAACAAAGAGCATTATCTGAAAATGTGCAATGAAAGAACAACATGAAAAAGTGGTTTTGATTTAATAATGAGAACTGGTATCAGGCAAGATTCTTGCTTTAAAAAAAAAAGTTTTCAGCCATGTGAAAAGAAACACTGTCCTGCCTGTAGGGATGTAAACAAATACTGCTGTAAAATAAGCCACTATCTATATGGGGCCTGATAAGAATAAAAGCCAATGTCACCAAGTTGTTTTACTTTCAGAAAAAAAAAAGTTGGGGGGAGTCACTTCACAAGTATAAAAAGTGGCTGTTATGTAAGGTAAAGGTAAAGGTAAGGTTATCTGGTAAAGGTACAGATATGGGAAAATGTAGCTGAAATAAAGGTTTGGTCTCCCAGGATTAACACGGGAAAGAAACAGACCTGCTCACTGATCCCCTGGGAGCAGTCACTGGCCTCAACTCCATTCCCCGGCCCCCATCGTGTGTCCAGCTGAGGCCTGGAATGGCACAAGCTTTATACCTGCAGGAACTGACATCCTGGGTGAGGTCAGGAGATGCTCATTGCTAGGCTATTGTGCTAATCTAAATCACCTCTTTAAGCTCAAATGACAAAACAGACGTCCACATCTTTCCTTTGTCCAAGTTCATAAGGGTAAAGTTTTAAACATTTCTGTCCCCAAAAGCAGTGAATTTTTGTCCCCACTCCCTCCTCCACACAGGAAGGAACACTGCCAGCTTCTCCCTTCAGCCTTTCTTCTCACTCAGAGAGCACATGCCTCTCTTTAAACTTCCACCCTAACCACAGTGGGGTTCTAGGCTCCCCTCTCCTGGGTCCTCCCTCCCGGGTCCTCTCTCTGGATCAACTGGACACATACACTACTTCCCACCAACACCTCAGCCTCTGCTTGCCCAAGTCACACCCTCTGTCTTTTGCCCCAGGCTGGCTTCTACTCCTGACTACCGTATTTTATTGACAGTACCACCATTCTCCTAGAAGATAGCCATGACTCAGACGACACTGTTGACATCTATTTCTCCCTAACACATGCTATCGGTTGCCAAACTCTGTGGTCTATTTCGATGCCAATCATAGTTCTGTGTCCTGTTTCCATTCCCTTCAACACCATTGGAACCCTTTGTCTTCCCTCCTCTCCTTATCTGTGTGGTCTTTGGAATCAGACAAACGAAGGTATAAATCCTGGCTCTGCCAATCACCAGCTGAATGACCTTGGCAAAGTTACTTAAGCTCGCGGAGCCTCAATTTCCTCATCATAAGGAAAAAAAAAATAGAGATAACATCAACCTCATGGGGCATCTCTATGTGGATTAAATATTTGTCAAGACTGTAAGTCAATGCCTTGACACTGAGAAGAGTGATCCTTTGAAAGGCATAAATCAGATTAAGCTTCTCTGTCACTCAAAATCCTTTAGTGGTTCCCCATCGCACTCAGTGAAGGTCAGTGTTTACACAGCAGCTCGTAAATCCCAAGCAGTCCCTCCCTTTCAACCTGTCACCCTCTAATAATCTCCCACTATTTCCCACACACTCCATTCCAGCCATGCCGGCCTCCAAGTATTCAACAAGCACTGCCAGGCCTGACCCTGCCTCGGGACCTTTGCACTGGCTGTTCCTTTGCTTAGGTCTTTGATCAACTGTTGGCATCTCAGAGAGGTCTCCCATGATCACCTCCTACTGCCCAGGATTTCCTACCCTTCTTCCCTGCTTAATTTTTCTCCATGTCACTTACCACCTCTGTAGTTCTGTATATTTTATTGCTTACTTAATGCCTGACTCTGGCCACTGAGGGTTGGGATTTATTTTTTTGTTATCTGCATCTTCCCAGGGATCTAAAACAATACCTGACACACAGGTGGTAACCAATGTATTTGTTGAATGGAGCAATTAAGTGTCATTTCCTGTCTTAGTCTGTTTGTGTTCCTATAAAGGAATACCTGAGGCTGGGTAATTTATAAAGAAAAGAGGTTTATTTGGCTCACGGTTCTGCAGGCTGTGCAAGAAGCATGGCACTAGCATCTGCCTCTGATGAAGGCTTCTGGCTGCTTCCACTAGTGGCAGAAGGCAAAGGGGAGCTGGCGTGCACAGAGATCGCAGGGCAAGAGAAGCAGCAAGAGAGAGGGGAGAAGGTGCCAGGCTCTTTTTAACAAGCAGCTCTCACAGGAACTAACAGGGTGAGGACTCACTCACTACAGTGAGGACAGCGCCAAGGCATTCATGAGGGATCCACCCCCAAGACCCAAACACTTCCCATTAGGCTCCACCTCCATCACTGGGAATCAAATTTCAACATGAGGTTTGGAGGGTCAAATATTCAAATTAGAGCAGTTTCTTTCCTACTTCCACTCTTGCCCAGCCTGGAAATCCATTGGTGATCACTTTTAATAATCCAGCAGATAAGCTCTACTCACCCTGAACCCAGGATCTGCATAGCAGTCCCTGTTCCTCCACCCAGGCTTCTGAGCACGGCTGTAGAAAATACTGCAATCATTTGTGGAGATACCATCATACACCGTTATC